GAGAATTTTTTAAAAATATTTATCTTTTAGTTATTTGCAGACACAACATTCCTTTGTATGTGGTGCTGAGGATCGAACCCGGGCCGCACGCATGCCAGGCGAGCGCACTACCGCTTGAGCCACATCCCTAGCCCTGAAGTCTAGTTTTTTGCTAGCCTCAGTGCATGCCTATAACTCTAGCTACTGAGAATACTGAGGTCAGACTGGACAGTTTAATGAGACCCTATTTCAAAATAAAAAAAGGGCTGGGAGTGAGCTCAGTGATAGAGAGCACTTACCTAGCATGCACAAGATCCTGGATCTGATCCCTACCACTTAAAAAAATTCATTATCTCAGGTCATAATTTTATTATATCTTGGTGTTGTGATAAAGATTTTATTTGTTAATTTTTAGACAGAACAGTTTACCATGTTCACTTTTCCCTCATAAACAGTTTTATTTTAGGTCAGCTATATTTAACAAGTCTTTTCCTGGATCAGCTTTAGAATTTAGTTTTACATTGGCAAATGATATCAATGTCTGAAACTTCAAATTCAGTCCTTTGGTATTCTTCCAATTACTTGATGTGCCAAATATTTGCTTTCCTATGGTACTTTATGGACAAAGAGGAAAGAATGTTTTCGGAGTCAAACCTTCAAAAACAAAGACATGCATTTAGGTTTATGAGTCCTGATCATTCATCCATCTACCCTTTCATTCACCCATCCATCCATGTATCTATCCATGCATGCATGCATGCATGCATTCATTCATCTGTGTACCCATTCATTAATCTACTCAAGGGGTTCTCAACCATGGGGCACTTATAGCCCCCAGGGGACATATAAAAATGTCTGGAGACATTGTTAGGGTATCATAATGGGGGATGTTACTGGCATCTTTGAGATAAAGGTCAGAAGAACTGTTAAGTGTCCTACATTATACTGGACAGCCCCAACAACAATTAAGTGACTTAAAATGTCAATATTACCTAGGTTAAGAACCCCAACTGGTACTGGGGTTGTAGCTCAGGTAGAGTACTTTCCTAGCATATGTGAGGCATGGGGTTCGATCCTCAGTACCACATAAAAATAAATAAATAAAATTAAAGGTATTGTGTCCATCTACAACTAAAACAAAACAAAAAAAAAGAATCCCCACTGTGCTGGGGTTGCATCTATAGCTAATAAAATATTAAAAGAAAAATAAAAAATAAAGGTCCATGAACCTTTTAAATAAAGAACTCCCACTGTGCCACATCCAATCACCTACACCCATTCTTCTAAATGTTTATTGAACACTTACAACAATGTCTCTCAGTCTTGACTGAAAGAATCAACTATGGAGTGTGTAAAGCATTCAAGTGCTCAGTTATCAACAAGGAATATTCAGAGTTTCATAATCAAACTATGGAAGTTTGTGAATTGAACATTTATCAGTAGAGAAATTTCTGTGCTTGTTTCTGAGAGAAATGTGATGTGTATTTAAGATTAATTAGCATAATCATATTAATTCATGAAACAAACAAATGTCTAGGTCTTCTTCTACCAGGGGATCTCAGTTCAGTCTGACCATTAGAGCCACTAGGGAAGCTCTAAAAAACATTGATGCCCAGGTCCCAGGTTTAATTGGTCTAGGATGTGGCTGAGGCATGAGGATCTTACAAAAGCAACTTGCATGATTATGATATGTATACCAGGGTTAAGAACAGCTGTCAGAGCTCAAAAATGCACCTTTTTTTAAAATATGGAAAAAGGTATACAAATTAGTGTGCACAGGGGGAAATCACAGCATGGGAGTTATACGCAAAGCATGGGTCTCCTTCCCTTTTTCTTTGCTTTTTTTTTTTCTTGTGCATATACACAACACGTGTTTTTTTTTTTTTTTTTTTTTTTTTTTTTCTATTTCAAAATAACTTTTTTTTTTTTTTTTTTTTTTTTCTGTATTCAGAGTCCAATCTTCAGATAAGGTTTGGTGTAAGAACATGCCCTTGAATTCTTTTTTAATTATATGTATGTGTATAGGTGAGTGATGGGGAGAGGGAATTGATCTAGAAGCCCAAATGCCCAGGATCACAGGATGGCTGAACATCTTAACCCTTCTCTTGCCACCGGTACTTTTTTAGGAGAGTGGCATTGGCTGGAGACCATGAACCCTATTATGGCTAATTAGACATCTTTACTAATATTAGAATGGCCAAACAGATGGTCACAAAGTTCAGATGAAAAGATTGAAAGAATTGCAAACAACTAAGCACCATAATATCCCTCTCGCTAATGTCCCTCAATAGTTTAGTAGATCCTGGTTTTATGTCAGACTTTAGAAACACATATACAGAATCACAAAATTTAGATTTTGAAGGAACATAGAAGCATTCAAGCCCTTTCCTCCTGGTTTGAGAGTTCCTCTTTCATGAGCTTTGACTGGGGCTGCCAAGACACAAGTTGCATCCTCCAGAATCTGGGAGCCCAGTTTGCTGCAAGACCATCTATTCCAGGGTTGGAAAACTCCCATTTTTTCCTCCTGAAATGACAAAAAAAAACCCTTTGGATTTTTCATCTCAGATCGAATGTCCCTAGTTTCTGTGAATATTCCTTGCTAGACAGTTTTCAGAGCCTCCTGTGCTGCAGGGTCACCTTCCCCTGGAGTATGTGTCCACATTGCCTCCACACCCTGTTAGAACATTCTAAGTGTAACCAGAAAAGTGAACTATTGCTTCCCTGATCCAGGACAACTATTAACACTGTCCAGGATAGCACTGAGCACATTTTTAACAGCTACTTCACTCTATTAAAGTTACCTTTTGGTCCTAAAGAGTCATCACAGTGAGCATTAATTGGAAAGAGATAATGTCAGCCCAAATGCTGCCTTTCCAGGTCCCAAATCCATTTGGTGAGGTGGAAATTGAAGCTGAATATTGATTTAGGTGATGTGTGTTGTATGCATTTGAGCTCACCACCTATCTGACATTAATGCTGAGCACATTCACATTTTCTTTTCTTTTTTTATACCTTTATTTTATTTATTTATTTTCATGTGGTGCTGAGGATTGAACCCAGGGCCTCACACATGCTAGGTGAGCACTCTACCGCTGGAGCCCCAGCCCCAGCCCTCATTCGCATTTTGTTATTGTTACTGTCATGGCTATTACAGTTGGTTGAGGAGACCCACTATGAATTTGATGTAAATTAATTCCTTCACTTCACAGAGCCCCATGCTTTTTTTTTTGGGGGGGGGGGGGGGGGTACCAAGGATTGAACTCAGGGCACTCAATCATTAAGCCATATCCCCAGTCCCTATTTTGTATTATATTTAGAGACAGGGTCTTACTGAGTTGCTTAGCACCTCACTTTTGCTGAGGCTGGCTTTGAACTCTCTATCCTCCTGCCTCAGCCTCCCGAGCTGCTAAGACTGTTTTAAAATATCTTTAATTAATTTATTTTATGTGGTGCTGGGGATCAAACCCAAGACCTCGCCCATGCTAGGCAAGCGCTCTACCACTGAGCCACAACCCCAGCGCCCCCAAGCTGCTAGGATCCCAGGTGTGCACCACCATTGCCCAGCCCCATGATTTTTTTATCATAAATTAGGCAGAGAATTTGGACAACTCACCCAAGGTCCCATGTAAGATATAGAGTCCCTATCTAAACTCCAATGTCTTTGTCCCAAAGCCCATGCTCTACCCCAATTTTGTAATGCTTCAGAAAATTATGGTACAATGACTACAAGTCAAGTTCACAGTAATACTCTCTAGGTCCAGCTGGTGGGTTGGAACCTCCATTTGATGATGGAAGAAATAGCAACAGAGTTATCTGAGCCCTTTAGATTAAAGACAGTGGAACAGAGAGGGGCTCTCCAGAATTCATGTCCCACCTTAATATCTCGAGAGTTTTAGATAGTAGAACAGAGGGAAATCTCTCCAGAATTCATGTCACCTTGAACATCAGACCTTTAGAAAGAAACCTTGGGTGCCATACTCTGTCAACCTTATCCTTTCCATTGTATGATTATGAAATATATTATTAATGATATTTAACATTTTAAAATGACTATTTTTAAGTATTTTAAGATGTTATTTCCTTGACAATCCTACTAACAATATATCAACTATTTTTTTTCCTTTGGCTCTATTTGTGTGTGAGTTTGGATTTATACTGTAAAGTCCTGGGAAATACTGGAGAAATGCCTCAGAGTTGGCCCACCCAAGGGGATAGGAGGTAGGGGGACTCCTCCATTGACTCCTAAGCAAGGGTTAGTAGTTGAAGGGTGCTCCTAACGGTGTTAACTTCCTGATATTTGGGCCTACCCTGAAGCAAGTGAGCACTCATGTTTAGAAAACCTTCTTATAGAAAATTGTAGATGCTTTCAGTAGGAAACCTTTAGCAGACATGGCAAATGTAAGGGATTGTGGTCAAGGCATGATCGCATCTGCTACAAAAGGTGACATGTAGGCAAACACTTGAAGTGAGACACTGCGTCACATGGATATCTGGAGGTAGAATGTTTCAGGAAGAGAGAATAGCTATTGCAAAGGCCTTGAGGCAGAAGCTGCCTGGCAGTCTGAGGAACAGAGAGGAGGCCAATGTGACTGGAATAAAGTGAGCAAGATGGAGAGTAGAAAAGATGATGGCAGAGAGTCATAGCAGGCAAGATAATGTAGGGCTTTGTGAGCTATTTTAAGAACATGGCTGGGGGTGGGGGTTGGGGTTGTGGCTCAGCTGTAGAGCGCTTGCCTAGCATGGGTGAGGCCCTGAGTTCGATCCTCAGCACCACCTAAAAAATATACTTTTTTAAAAAAAGAACATGGCTTTTACCATGACAGAAATAGGGAGTCATGGGGCTGGGCTGTGGCTCAGTGGTACATCTAGCACGTGCAAGGCCCTGGGTTCAATCCTCAGCACCACATAAAAATAAATAAATAAAAGGTATTGTGTCCAACTATAACTAAAAAAATAATTTTTTAAAATTGGGAGTCATTAAAAGTTTGAGAAGTGTGATGTGATCTAACATATTTCAAAAGGATCAACCAGGCTGCTGCTCTGGAAGCTGGAAGACAGGAAACTGATGCAAGAGATGATAAAGGCCTAGATCAGGTAGGTCAGAAGTGGTAAGTGGTTAGCTTTTGAATGTAGCAACAAGGTGAAGTCTGTTGAATTTCTTGACACATTCAATGTGGAGTGTGAGAGAAAGAGGGAAGTGAAGTATAAAATTTATGATTTTAGCCTAAGTAACTGACCTGAGATAAGGGTTTTATGGGTAGAATATGTTTAGGGGGACAATTATGCATTCTGGATTATTTATTGCAGTGCTAGGGATCAAATCCAAGACCTTGTGCATTCTAGAAAAGTACTCTAGAATGTACCACTCTAAAAAAGTACCATTGAGCCACACCCCAGGCATTCATGCATGTTTGGACACACTGATTTGTAGATGTCCATTACACATTCAAGTGGGAATATCAAGTTAGCAGTTGGCTATATAAATTTGGAGTTTAGGAGTGTGGTCTAGACCAGATATATAAAATTTAGAGTTGGAATAGAGATGTTTAAAGCCATAAGACTGGATGAGATCACTGAGTGGTCTATTGCCACTATATACTGGATCTTCTCCCTCTGTCCACCTATATCTCTTATCCACACTTTCAATTTTCCACTACTGTGTCCCACTATGCTGCTTTCTCAGCAATTTCCTCATATCTAACTTCCAGGATACTAATTCTCTCTTTTACTATTTCTAGTTTGTCATTTTAATTTATAGGCCATTTTTTCATTCTTAGTATTTCTGCTTTTTAAAAAAAAAAAATCAGAATTTTTTTAGCCTTTTTTCTTTTTACTTTATTTAAAACATCTAATACATACATATATTATCTTTCCCAGTAATTTACATGAAGACTGACACTACTTTCAGTGTGCCTCCAACATGGTAGTTTGTTTCTCTGTGTGTTTATTCTTTGAAGCTTTGATACACATATGTTCATTCCTCACTCCTGGGATTGGACCCAGGGCTTTGTGCATACTAGCCAAGCACTCTACCACTAAGCTATACCAGAAGCCCAATTTTATTTCAAGTATCCCAGGCTTACCTGGAAGTTGTTATCTTTCTGCTTCAACCTCCTAAGTATCTGGGATTACAGGTGTGTACCACCATGCCACAGTGAAGCTAGAGCTTTTTCTGTTGGAATGGCTCAGGAAAGGGCATATACAGTAGATTTTTTAATTTGGTTCTTCTAAGTATTTCAGGGTTATCCCTAGCCTGGGGATAATTTTCATGCTAATTTCTCAGCCTGGTGGTTTGTGGCCCACACAGTGTAAGTATGAATCTCAAATCATGGTTGCATACTCTCACGGAACTTGTTCCCTTGCATTTCTGTAAAAATTCCTTTTTCTTTGTACCAGTGAGGGAACTTTTTATAGCTTAATTCTTCATAAGGATGAAATCTTTAGGGTACCATCTTTATGCAGGGAGTCTGATTTCCAACTTCCTATCTGGCATGGATCAATGTCTTATTTCTCATACTTGCTTGGACATTAATTCTCAAGTCCCAACAATCCATTCACACACTTTATCCCAGTCCTTACCATTTTAGTTTTCAGTTTCCTTTTTCCGGCTCCTGGCAGTTCCTTCTTTACTACAAATTAATTTTGCATTTCAAAAAAATGTTATATTTTAGCCAGCCTCTCTGTTTGCAGAAGAAATATGTTCAAGTTATCTCAGGTATCTCATTGATAGAACTGGAAATCACAGTTGATTTGGATGGTCATATGAACTTAGGAGGAACTATTTTCTGGAATGATATGCCCATGTGACAGGCCCATTTCATTCACATAATGCCCCCCACCTTCTTGTCATATTGTAAGCATTGGCTTCTCTAGAGAGTTTTTAGGATGGTAATCTACTGGGTACCATCAATTTTATTCCTATGACTGTGCCTGCCCTGATGATTATTTGCTTCAGTTGTGCCAGTACTGACCAAAGAGGCCTATGTGATAAACAAAAGAATTAGAAACAAATGTTTCACCATCCAGGATCAACTGCCATTGCAAAGACCCAAACTGACCTGGCCAAAGAACTTCAGGGATGGCTGTCCAAGGGTTCTGGTGGACAGGAGGTCTAGCAGGACCAGGCCATTCCATCCACTTATGGGAAGTGAAGGGAAGAGAGATCAGAAATACCACAAACATCTGCTTCCCATGGCCCCAACAAGATATATCCCCTTTTTACTGTGTCCCATTTCCTGAGAAGCCCCCAAAGATCTAGAAACCCCAAACAAGTCCTTGTAATGGTAAGGACAGCCAGGAAGGGAAGGAATTAGAATCCTCTGCCCAGAATCTCTGAAACCTTTTTCAGGACTCATTATCCTTCGGTGAAAGAGAAAGTGAGTGGGAAAGAGTGCAGGGATCTCAAAGAAAGACTTTCTGCTTTCTCTTTAACAAAACCCACATCCATTGCTGGATGGACTGAAGAGCAGAATGGTAGGGTCAGACGGTAGATGCCATTCAGCTGAACCTCCCACCACAAACAGCCCCCTTGCCAGATAGCCCACTACTGTGGGCTTTCACTTCATGGCAGGACTGCTGTCACTTTAAGCCTCTTCTTGAGATGACAATCTGCCTTTCAGCCATTTCTACCTTTTGGTGAAATGTCTGCTCCTATGCCTCCATTCTACATTTGGGGACCACACAAATCAAATCCCCTTGCTTCCCTTCTACCTGGCACGCCCCCTAGGATGCTGTCACATTTCTCTTTTTCAGGTAAGAAGGCTCGGTTCATTCCTTCTTTCCTCATAAAAAGTGGCCCTAGAGCCAGATACCACCCACCAGACATTATCTCTCATGTCCTCACAGGTGACCAGATCCTCCTTCTCCCATTGTTGGCCCCAGTCATAGCAGCACCAAGGGGTATTCAGGAAGCACTCACAGAGTATACTCAATGCTGAGCCCTTGAGCCACAAGAACAGAAGTGGATGTAAGAGGAAAGATTCCAAGAAACTAAAACTTCTTATTCCGTTGAAAATTTCCCAGCCCAGAGGTGCATCAGCCATCCTGGAAGCCCTGAGACTCCCTGAGTCTCAATTTTTCCTCTGAGCAAAGCACTCTTTGGAAATATAATGAGGGGCACCAGCCATACCTGAGAACTGGACTGGACAGTAATGTCTTTTCTTTCCTATTCAGCCCTGCCAGTGTGATGACCCCTGTTTCTCTCCAGGGAATCCTGGCCACTTTTACTTGTATTTATCTGGGTCACAGGGGGACAGAGAGAGACCTTGACACCTAGCCCACACATGTGCTGGTAACACCAAGGGCATGTCTCCCAGAAGCTGTTCACTCACTTACAGTCACATGGACCAAGATCTGCCTCATTCCTTCCTGGGACCACTGGCTAGAACAGGTTCTCTCCTGGTTGCCAAGGAAGGAGGGTCTCCCCCTGCATCCACTGGCTCAACAACATAGAAAAGATGCCCTTATAGAACTTATGGTCTAAGGGAACTATGAGACCAAGGCCAAGCTTGCCCCAGGATCTCCATCCAGTAAAGGAAAGGGGATAACCAGAGGGATAAATCCCACTAGGAGGAAACTGGCTGAGCTATGTTTTTGCTTTCCTGCTGTACACTCAGTTCCAAGCCCACCTGTACAGAGGGAAGATATCCTTTCACACAGGAAATAAAACAAATTTCTTCAATGAATATTAGAAGTCCAAACTAGAAAGTAATTTTATCCTGTTCCTGCATATAAGACAGTAAATTAAAACCCAAAGGGTTCTGTGGAGCTGAGCAGGTTGTCCTTTGGACGATACCCTTCCTAGTAGGCAGGCCATTATGTGTTCTCTGTGGTGGGTCACAGACTTGGAGCAAAGTGGTTGAAGCTCTCAGAAGATGGTTTTGCAGCTCCACTAAAGCAGGTTGGAATTGAAGGAACTTCAAGCTACTGGCAACAAGACTACTTTTTATGTGTCTGCTGGAGGCCCATTGTGGTTTTCAAGTAATTATGCTGGACAAAGAAAAAAGAAAACAGGAAATCAGGAGGTGTGGACTTAACAGGGATTCTAAAACTATGTCACTCACATTCACCTCATCATTCTTCCTGCAAACTTCACTGTTTCTGGATAAGGATTCCCTATGAATAGCACCAATTTTATGAGAAATTACATTCAAACACTTTCATTCTTTCATCCTAAAGAAAATATGTAAAATTGCATTAAAATGATCTGCAGGAGGGCTAGGGTTGTGGCTCAGCGGTAGAGCGCTCGCCTTGCACGTGCAAGACCCTGGGTTCGATCCTCAGCACCACATACAAAAATAAGTGAAATAAAGGTGTTGTGTCCAACTACAACTAAAAAAAAAAAAATGATCTGCAGGTGCTGGGTGCGGTGGTGCATGCCTATAATCCCAGCGGCTTGGGAGGCTGAGGTAGGAGAATCAAGAGTTCAAAACCAGCCTCAGCAATGGCAAGGCTTGCTAAGCAAACTCAGTGAAAGCCCGTCTCTAAATAAAATACAAAATAGGGCTGGGGATGTGGCTCAGTGATTGAGTGCCCCTGAGTTCAATCCCTGATACAAAGTTTCAGGGACCTATTTGAAAGTTTTTTTAAACAGAATGGTTCAAAAGGAAAAGAGGATTCTGTCTCTAGAGGAGTCAATGTCAAGGAACTCTGAAAGGCCTTCCCTCTATAACTGCAATCACATAAATGTTCACATATTCTACTCTTTTATTGCATTGCTCTGCTTTTAGAAAGCAGGTGGGAAAAATGAGCTGAAACAGAAAGAGTGGGCAGTTAGTAAGTACATGTTAAAACCAGCTTGGAATATGGAGCCAAATCCTAAGTTCCCACACAAGGCAGAAGAATGAACCCACAATGCTAGATTCTTGATGGGGTTAAAATGTCCTGGGCTGGTGATGCTCCCTTGCTAATCGCAAGAAACAAGAACAAACCCTTTCAGAATTTCGACATATGTGCTCTGGACTCCTAGAGCTTAAGCAATAAAACATTAACTCATGATTTATTACTTATTTATTGGTACTGGGGACTTATTTATTTATGTGTTTGTTTGTTTATTGGTACTGGTGATAAATCCAGGGGCATCTTACCACTGAGCTGTATCCCTTTCGATTTTTTTTATTTTGAGACAGAGTCTCACAAAATTGCTTAGGGTCTCATTAAGGTGCTGAGACTGGCCTTGAACTTGCAATGAACTCAAGATTTAAACACACACACACACACACACAAAAAAAATTATGGAGGAAACTCAGTAAAACAGGAAACAAATTTTGATCCTGAAAAAAATCTGATCTCATGTGTATGTGTGTGTATGTTGAATATATACACACACATATATATAGTGTAACTATACACTACATAGAGTCACTATACTATATATGGAGTTATTATATAGTAATTATAACTATATATAGTAACTATAACTATATATATAGTAGCTATAGTTACTTATAGTAACTATATATAGTTATATAGTTAAATATAGTCATATATAGTAACTATAAACATAGATAGTAAGTATAATTATAATTACTATGTATATTTAACTGTTATAGTTACTATATATACTATATATAGTGTAACTATAGTATAGTTACTATATTTATAAAACTATATAGTTACTATATAGCTATATTTACTACATAACTATACATATAACTATATAACTATATATATGCAGTATAACTGGTTCAGTTATATAAAAATGGCCAATACGAAGAGTTCTCCTAGAGATAGTGGAATAGAAGTTTGACCTGTAGAAACACATGGTTCCTCTATTTAATGATTTAGAATTTAATTTTTTTTGAAAGTTTGAAAGAAAATAATAAAAGAGCAATGTTTGAGCTGGGCACGGTGGTGCATTCCTGTAATCCCAGCAACTCAGGAAGCTGAGGCAGAGGATCAAAAGTTCAAAGCCAGCTTCAGCAACTTAGCAAGACCCTGCCTCAAAATAAAAAATGAGCAAGGTGTGGTGGCTCATACCTATAATACCAGTGACTTGAGAGGCTGAAGCAGGAGGATCACAAGTTCAAAGCCAGCCTCAGCAACGGTGAGGCGCTAAACAACTCAGTGAGACCCTGTCTCTAAATAAAATACAAAAATAGGGCTGGGGATGTGGCTCAGTGGTCGAGTGTTCCTGAGTTCAATCCCTGGTAAGAAAAGAAAAGAGACGAGACAAGACGAGAAAGAAAGAAGGAAAGAAAGAAATTTTTAAAAGAGCTGGGGATGTAGCTTAGTGGTAGAACGCCTCAGTTAAATCCCCAGTACCCAAAACAAACAAACAAACATAAAAGTGTCCCCTCCCCACCAAAAAAAAAAAAAAAAAAGAAAATGCAAAATTTATCTACGATATCAAGAGAGAAACTCATGATGGTAATCATGCAAATTGTTTTTATTCATATTTTCTATGATCTTGAAATAACTTATGCTAGTTAAAGAAAGTTAATTTTACATAAAGCAATAAAATTTTTGAAGCTCTTTCTCCAAAGTCATTGATATATTATCCTCTTATATATTCGGGATGACCTCAACCAGTTGACCAAAATTAGTCACCATGACTTAATCCCCTCCCAAAGGCTTCACCTCTTAATACCATCATCATGGTAGTTATATTTCAATACATGAATTTTGGAGTGACACCAACATTCAGTTCATAGCACAAATTTTGTCTTTCTTAGCTTCTGGATTTGGTAGCTTGACTAGAAAGCCCTTCCTCCAGTTCAGTTCATTCTCTCCATTAAGGTGACATCTTCACTGATGACTATGAGGAGCTGAAGCTCAAAGAGGATTGAGTAAATGGGGGTTGTTATATGGAGGTCCCCCAGAGCTGCAATTCTCAGGATATCCTATATCATATACCCAAATAACAGGGGTCTTATTAGGATGCAGATTCTAAAATAGTAAGTCATGGAACAAAGCAAATTCATGTGCCTCCTGATACAATATACCAAGAAAAACATAATTTTTGTTAACACTTGCTGAAAATACATAACTGAAGTTGAGATACATTTTACCAAACACTGGCCTGTATTTTTCAAAAATATCAAGATAATGAAATAGAAGGAAAGACTGGGGAATTGTTCTAGATTTGAGAAGACATTGCAACAAAATGTAATATGTAATCTTAGATTGGATCTTGGACCAAAGGAAGAGGGGAGAATAGTTGTCAAGGACATTTTTGGAATAGTCAAAAATAGCCAAGTGTGGTGAAATATATCTGTAGTCCTGGCTACTTGGGAAGCTATGATAGTAGGGTTGTAAGTTGAGGCCAGCCTGGGCAACTTAGTGAGATTCTATCTCAAAATAAAAGGGTTGGGGGTATAACTCAGAGATAGAGAGCGTCTGCCTCACATATGTGAAGCTCTGGGTTCAACCTTCAGTATCACAAAAAAGTTGAGTATGGGTTTTGGATTAAATAATATTATTGCTTTACTGTTTATTTTCCTGATTTTGATTATTACATCATTATAATTTAAGAGAATGTCCTTGTTTAAGACATGAACACTGAAACATTTATGAGTTAAGAAAAAGCAGAGCATGATATGTTCTGAAATTCACTGTGGTTGCACATATTTGTGAAGATACTAAAAACTACTGAGTTGTACAATTTTGAGGGTGAAATATATGGTATTATATATCAAAAAAGTTATTATTTTTAAAGAGCAAGAAATAAGGTGTGGGCTGGGGCTATAGCTCAGTGGCAAAGCGCTTGCCTGGCATGTGTGAGGCACTGGGTTTGATCCTTAGAACCACATAAAAAATAAATAAATAAAGGCATTCCGTCCATCTACAACTACCCAAAAAAAAAAAAAGAATTTAAAAAAAAGAAATGAGTTTATAACACATGACCAAGTATATTTGAAGGAGAATCAAATAGAATTTTTAGACATAGCTGATTAGACACAGCTGAGAAGGGTATTAATAAACTGGAACAGGAATCTAAAGAAGTTACCCAATTACAGCATAGAGAGATGAGGAGCTAGAAGAAACAAGAGAGATTTTTAAGAGAGAGAGAGGACAGAATGAGAATGCCTAAAATATATCTAATGGAGAGAAAAGGAAGGCAGTATGCAAAAAAATATGACCCCAATATCCAATCATGATGAAAAAAAAATACTCAATGAACTAAGAACAGAAGAGAACATCTGCAACCTAACAAAGGCAGATCCTAAGACAGACCCTCTAAGAATGCTACTCAAAGTGTGGCCCTAGTCTAGCATCCTGGGCATCATCTGAGAATTTATTAGAAATGCAGAATTTCAAGTCCCATTCTGGACTTACTATATCAGAACCTGCATCCTAACAAAATCCCTGTTATTTGTGTATATGACATAGGATGAGAATTGCAGCTCTGGGGGACCTTCATATAACAACCCCCATTTACTCAATCCTCTTTGAATGGGCTTCAGCTCCTCATAGTCACCAGTGAAGATGTCACCTAAATGGAAAGAATGAACTCAATTGGAGGAAGGGCTTTCTAGTCAAGCTACCAAATCCAGAAGCTAAGAAAGACAAAACTTGTGCTATGAGCTGAATGTTGGTGTCACTCCAAAATTCATGTGTTGAAATATAACTACCATGGTGATGGTATTAAGAGGTGAAGCCTTTGGGAGGGGATTAAGTCATGGAGACTCTGATCTTATGGATGGGATTAGTGCCCTTTTAAGAGGCCTGAGAGAGTTTGTTAGACCTTTGCCTTTCTACCATATAAGTTGCCACACACTAGAAGGTGCCATCTTTAAGCAGAGAGCCCTCACCAGACACTTAGACTGCTGAACCCTTGATCTTGGGAACAATTTCTGGCTTTTTTATAAATTACCCAGTGTAATATATTTTTTTATGGCAGCTCAAATAAGATGCTCAATGTAATAAAATCAATAAAAAATAACAAAAAAGTAAAGTCAAAAGACAAACAACAAATAGAAAAAAGTAGTTGCAATTCATACAAAAAAATATAATTAATCTAATATATAACAAATTCCTACAATTAAGAAATAAAAGAATAAAGTTTATAGCATCTGCTGATAAATGGATGGAAATGAAGAATGGCATTCTAAGTGAAATAAGCTAGAATCAGAAAATCAAGGGTTAAATGTTTTCTCTCCTATGTGGAAGCTAGAGTAAAATAAGGGAAAAAAGAAGGAGGGAGTGGGATCAGATATCATAACAATATAGGGAATATCAGTAGAGTTATAGGAAGACATATGGAGGGAGGAGGGACAGGAAAGGAGAAAATATAGAATGGATTTAACAAAAATCATGTTATTTACATATATAAATATACCACAGTAATTCCACCTTTATGTATATGTAGAAAGCACCAATCAAAAATAACTAAACAGGGGCCTGGGGATGTGGCTCAAACGGTAGCGCGCTTGCCTTGCATGCGTGTGGCCTGGGTTCGATCCTCAGCACCACATACAAAAAAGATGTCCACCAAAAACTAAAAAATAAATATTAAAATTCTCTCTCTCTCTCTCTCTCTCTCTTTCTCTTTTTAAAAAAGAAAAAATAACTAAACAGCTTGGCATGGTGGCATAAGCTTGTAATCCCAACATCTTGGGAGGCTGAGGCAGGAGGATCACAGGTTCAAAGCCAGCCTCAGCAAAAGTGAGGTGCTAAACAACTATAGGGCTGGGGATGTGACTTAGTGGTCAGGTGTCCCTGAGTGTAATCCCCAATACTCTAAAACCTTAAAGATTAAAGGAAGATCAGTAGAGTACAGGAAGGAAACAAGGAGGAGGAAAAAAGGGAGGGAAGGGTCAGGGAATGGGAATTAGAATGCAATAATCAAAATCCATACAGGTATGATTGTCAAAATAAACCCAACTACTGTGTACAACTATCATGCTTTAAAAAAAAAGAATAAATAGAAACCTTACAACCAATAGAAAAACAAGCAAAAGGGGCTGGGGATGTAGCTTAGTGGTAGAGTGCTTACCTAGTATGTGTGAAGCCCTGAGTTCAATCCCCAGTATTGCAAAAAATAAATAAAGAAAAGAAAAACAAGCAAAAATGTGATTAGTTTGCAAAAAAATATTTTAAAAAATCAAAATGGTGCTTCAACATTAAAAGAGATTCGCTTATAGTAAGAGAAACACAAAGCAACACTGAGAAAAATTTTCACCCTTCAGATTGGAAAACAATGCAAAAATAGTATACCATTTATTGTGAGCATCCTATAGGCTGATGTAAGGGTACAGAGAGGTTTAACTCTAGGCAGGCATTTTGGCAGACCCATCAAAAATACAAATGACCTTTTAACCAAGAAATTCACTTCTACAAAATTGCTTTTCATGTATAGTCATACATATGTGTAAACCCACATTTGTAAGAGCTCAGCTATACTTGTATTAGTAAAGAGTATCACAAACAAAATAAAAAGAGGGCCTGGGTTTAATTGCCAGCACCATAAAGTGAAAAAAAAAAATTTAAAAAAGAACTGTAAACTCTTAAATGTTCATTAATATGAGTTGGGTTAAACCTTTTGAGGCTGGCTGTGGTGGCACATGCCTGTAATCCCAGTCACTTAGAGGCTGAGACCAGACTCGGCAAGCTCAAGGCCAATCTCAGCAACTTGGTAAGACACTGTGTCTGAACAAAAAATAAAAAGGATTGGAGATGTAGCTCAATGGTAGAATGCCCATGGGTTAAATCCCAGTACTAAAAGAAAATATTTGATACATCCTCATAGGTTGACCTGGAATGATCTTTTTTTTGTATTGCTAAATAGGAAAAGCAAGTTTCTCCTGTCAGAGAGTCAATGGGAGTTTAAAAGATGTGCTTGTATTTTCATGTTTTTGTTTGTTTGTTTTCCAGTACTGGGGATTGAATTCATGCATGTTAGGCAAATGCCCTACCACTGAGCTACTCCAGGCCCTTTCTGTTTTTATTTTAATTATTATTTTTTATTTTTTAACTTTTTTAATTTTTGAAGTATTGGGGATTAAACCCAGGGGTGCTTAACCACTCATTCACATTTATTTTTATTTTGAGACAGGGTCTCACTAAGTTGCCAAGGTGGCCTGAAACTTGGGATCCTCCTTCCTCAGTCTCCCAAGTAGCTGGCATGTACCACTACATCCAGCTAAAAATTATTACTATTATTATTATTTTTTTGCAGGGCTAGGAATTGAACCCACATCCTTGCACTTCCAGGCAAGTGTTCTACCACTGAGCTGCACCCCCATGCTTGTTTTTCATTTTCGGTACTGGGGATTGAACTCAGGAGTGCTTACCCACTGAGCCACATCCCCAGCCCCATTTTGTATTTTATTTAGAGACAGGTCTCACTGAATTGCTTAGAGCCTCACTTTTGCTGAGACCGGCTTTGACCTCTTGATCTTCCTGTCTCAGTCTCCCAAAATGCTGGGATCACAGGCATGTGCCTCTGCGCCCGGCTCCTCCAACCCATACTTTTTTTTTTTTTTAGTTGTAGACAGACACAATATCTTTATCTTATTTATTTATTTTTATGTGGTGCTGAGAATTGAATCCAGTGCTCACGTGTGAGAGGCAAGTACTCTACCACTGAGCCACAATCTCAACCCCCCACCTATGCTTTTTTAAAGTTTAAAACACCCAAATGAATCACCTATTAAAACGTAAATAAATAACTATAAAAAATATTGTGGTTTTTTTTTGTTGTTGTTGTTGTTTTTGACAGGGTCTTGCTATGTTGACCATACAGACCTTGAATCCCTGGGCTCAAGTGATCAGCCTCCTGGTTTGTAAAAATATAAAGAATGTGCTCATTTGGGTAGGGATCCCATGTGCATCTGCCACAATGTATACAAATTGCCTCTGGACATAGAAGGGTACATGGCATTCTGGCTTGAGGCTGGGCCTTGGAACAGTGGAGATCCTCTGCTCCAGCCCAACCTGCTCAGGAAGAAGAGTCACAGGCCCAACCTAAGGCTGAGACCATGTCTATCTGTGCATTGGCTGAGTGTGATCTTCTGTCCTCTGCCACTTGCACAGAGTGGCCTGCCCTTGGAGAGGTCTTCAGGGGAGTGGCCTCAGGGGATCCCTGGATCTTGTCTTCAGTTGTGAACCACCCACAGGATGGCTCAGCCATGTCCAGGCCTGGCAATGGTCTGTGGGACCCTTCTATGGTCTAGCCCTGTCCCTGTCTTCAGCTTCAGAAGACACTCTTGACTGAGAGCAACTCTGATCTCTCTGGGTAGGCACCATTCCTCCCCTGAAGCTCTAAAGTAGGAAGTGTGATTTTGGGTGCCCTAGTAATGAGGTCCCTGAAGACCCCCCACCCTTCCTACAGACAAGTTACCTTCTGTTCTGTCTTGATTTTGGCATTGTAGAAGGAGATGGCATCAGGTCCCTCAGGTAGCACTGTCTGCTGAAGCTGAGCAAATTTGTCCTGGTCATCTTCTCCCTGGAGGAGGCCCAATATAGTAGAGTTCCTTCAGCCTGGCATTGTCAGAATCATCCCTGGTAGGGCCTGTGGTAGGTATCAAGAGAGTCCCCTTTCTGGGTTTGAAAGCCCCACCCAGGAATCTCACAATCCTGTAGCATCCTCACAGACCCCCTGTAACTGCCACCTGGGCAGGATGAGTCGCCCCAGAGGGCAGTAATAAGAATGGTGTTTCTGGGCTGGAGCTGGAGCTCAGTAGCAGAGCACATGCCTAGCATGCGTGAGGCACTGGGTTTGATCCTTAGCACCACATAAAAAAAATAAATAAATAAACAAAACAAATATATTCTGTCCATCTACAACTACAAAAATATTTTTAAATAAAAAATTTAAAAAATAAAAAAAAAAAACAATGGTGTTTCTTTCTGTCCCCATCCCTCAATAACTGAGAAGAGACCTCTCTGCCTCCTGTCTGGGACAGCCATGAAAGAAGCTATAGAGCCCTGCATACTGACATTCACAGAGAGTACAGACACTGCCATTCCCCAGTTCGGTCATTGCCATACCATGCCCCTACGCTGTGTACTCACCAGAGACACAATCCTGCTGACAGGCACCATGCCTGGCCGGATACTGCTGCCCAGCTTCAGTGCTACCTGCATATCCTCAGGGATGACAAAGGACTCATTGTACCAGATATCAAATTCTGTGAGGAGGTGGAAGATAGCACTTTGAGGTGAGGTGTGGGAGCCCCCGAGGAAGCAGGTAAAGGCTGCATGCACCAAGGTATTTTGTTCTCAATGCAGACTCAGTTTCATACACTTCCTGCTCCAGGGTCTCACCCTGTCTTCATCTCCATCTCTAGCCCTCAAGGACCTGGGAACCACATGCCTGAAGCCCCTCCCAGCCTTGCCTGGGTCAGCAAGCAGCTCTGAGATCTTCTGATTTTCAGAACTTGGGTTGGGACCTTACACTGAGCCTCCCAACCTTGAGCAGTTACCTAACCCTTCTAAGTTGCGCACCCATGAGCAGGCGGTGGCGACACTGGTCCACCAGGTGTTGGCAGTACTGAATCTCAGCCCTGAGGTCACGCAGATCCTGGTATTCGCTTCGATACTGCTTCTTGAGGTCTTTGAGCTTCAGGATCAGCAAGAATTCCTCTTCATCAATGATCATCAGCCCCTTGTTCTCATACTCACCTGCAGGGATGGAGTAGGTCAGGGAATGAGAGGGCATCCACCTGGCATTGGTGGGGGGGTGGGGGCAGGTATCCAAGAAAGAAGGAAAAACGCTGGCAAATCATTTTAGGATGAAAGAAAGGGGTGGGCAGAGGAGATGGCCCATGCACCATGCTTATTTAAACTTCATCGGCCAAAAATATTCAGTAGTTCTTCTATTAACCAAATACTTATTTTTCTTGCAAATGATGTATGTGAACTTTCATCACTGGCTAGTACCATAAGGCATTTGGACAAGGTTCCTTATTAATAACAACGGATGTAAAACTGCTTTGGGGAAGAAAGAGAAAAAAAACTTTTTTTTTGATACAAAAATTTTAAAGATTTAAAAAAATATATATCTTTAGTTGTCAATGGACCTTTATTTTATTTATTTATATGCAGTGCTGAGAATTAAACCCAGTGCCTCACATATGCTAAGCAAGTGCTCTACCACTGAGCTACCACCCCAGCCCCAAAAGATATTTTAAAATATTGTTTATTTCTTCTTCATTTCAGCCTTTGAAATGTCCATTTTAAAGTACACTTAGGAGAGGCTGGAGTTGTGGCTCAGAGGTTGAGTGCTCGCCTAGCATGTGTGGGGCACTGGGTTCGATCCTCAGCACCATATAAAAATAAAATAAAGGTATTGTGTCCACCTATAATTAAAAGCAAATAAGTAAAAAATTTTTTAAAAAAGTACACTTAGGAGTAAATGATTTGTCAGTATAGCATGCAGGCATTTTACTTTAAATGTGCAAATACATGATAAGGAGCTGTATGTTCAAAGGTATAAGCAGAGGGAACAAAGAAATGTTTGCTGGTCCTGTAGGACCTTCATCATGTTCTCTTCCTGAGGTTCTATGTGAGGGAGTGTTTGGAGTCACCATCACTATTCCTTCAGATTCCCAGGTGTTTGGAGGGCTCTGCCCTTTGGAATAGCATGTCATGGTTGGTCTGTGGGATATGAGTGGACTGGCTCCAAGACTTTGAAAATAAAGTTATTCTCTGAGAAATAAATAAGTAAAGTGTACTCCCTGATGGTGAGATGACTCATCTAGCCTGCAGGAATAAATCATGTGACATTAAGAGATCACTCACGAAAACTGGTGTGAAACCAGTTTGTAATTTAGCTGGAAGAAGATGAAGAGATGGAGCCAGGAAAGTGAGTAATGGTGGTCTCTGAACCCCTTCTCAGAGTCAGGGTGGTCACTCTTTAACATGCAGGGTTTGGACCCTGCTCTATATCTCCTGTACAGAAACACTGGCTGGGGGCCTGGGGATCCACACTTGATAGTCGCTTGCAGATGAGTCTTCTGCATAATCAAGCTTGGCCACAGTGAGGATGTAGGCAGGGACAAGGGCACTGAGTCAGGGCAACCAGGTAAGCACTGTCTCCATGCAGAGGTTTCTACCCTCTGATTTTTGGGCAACATGTCATCTGCCCTAGGAAACAAGACTGCCAAACCAGCACAGATGTCAGGGGTTCAGCATAGGGAACGGTTTTCCTGACAGTGAGTTCCTTGGCCCTCTGGCATTCACATTCTCATTTCCCTCCTCAGTTTTCTATAGTCCCTACCAGCATCCTTGATGCAATCTGACTCCCCAGGACAGTGAAGAGACCCCAGCAAGACCCAAGGACCTTGTAAGGGGTCACCAGCTACCTGAGGACACCTTTGCAGGACCAAGGGCCAGATTCTTCATGGACAGCAGCATTTTTCAGATGGAAGGCCTACCATCTGCCTGAGATAATGCAGTAATGGGGACAGATAGAGACTGGCCAACAGGGAAAGACTCTGTGGTCCCTAAGGAACTGACCAGAGCCAAGCCATATGACCCAAGAGTGAAGGCTCCATCCCAGTGCCCTCTGCTATCCCTCCCCAATCTGTCCTTTAGTGCCCAAGGTTGCCCCATTTGACATGGGATAACTCTAAGACCCCACAGCCATTTTCCCTGCCATCTTTCCCATCACATTTACCTTGCTTCTCCCTTAGTGACTTCTGGAAGTTTAGCGCTTCCTTGGTCACGTCAATCTCCCGCTTGATGACATTGATGCGCTGTGTGGTCTCGCTGGCCCTTTTCCTCCGCTCATTCAAGATGGACTTGTTTTCTTTGAAGATGCGGTTGATCTCACTTCCTCGCTCATTCTTAAAGTCCTCAAAGGCCATCAGCTTGGAGGGTGGGGTGGTAGGCCTAGGGTCAAAGGGGGAGGCCAGGGAGAAGTAAGAAATTGGGCAGCTACCTAAGAAGTACCAGGCACTCCATATTTATTCCCTGTGGCTTCTGTAGGCAGGAGGCAAAAGTTCTAGGTACCACCTTCCCAAATGGGAGCCAAACTATGTAGCAATCATTCCCTAATTTCTGTTTTACTCAGCACACAAGGGTGCATGCCTATCACAGAAATTAAGGAAATTAAGGATAAGAAACAGACAACACAACCACTTACTACCTATTAGCAACCACACCTCAATATGTCTCTTGGGATTTCTTTTATATATTTTGAAATGGCTGAGGCCAATGCAGTATATATAATTTTATATCTTTTTCACCAAAGCATCTTTTATACTATTAAAAACTCTTTGAGAATTCTAGTTTTAAGATGAAATGTTGATGTGGGGGGAAATAGATGGATATTGGCATCTTACTTGGCACTGCAAAAAAAAAAAGAGGGCTAGACACAAGATGAAATAAGTATATAGATGCTAACTGTAGAATTAAGAGAGTGCTCAGTGTATGGTTATTTACTAATTCTTCAAGTTCTTGGAATGTTTGGAAATGGGCATAGGCTGAGAAAAAAGTTCTTCATGCACATCCTTGAACACTCCAAAGACAGAAATAATTTAATGTCTTCTCCCTAATGTGGCCTACTGCAGGTGTTTCAAACACATTTTATTTTTGCTTTTTAAATTAATAATGTGATGAACTTTATTTGCATGAATATTATCTAGAAGAGATAATTATTCCTTAGAAGAGATTCCTAAAAACTCAATTACTGACTCACCAGGGAGGTGAATGAAGGAAAAGGAAGAAGTTATACTCTTATACCTTGACATTTAGTATATTTTGAATGTATTACTTATGTAAAAGATATTTAACTTTATTTAAATAATTGCTACATGGAGAGTCTGAAATGATTTAATTGTGTATCTTGGATGACTCCTGAGGCTGAATCTTTCTTTCTTTTTTGGTCCTGGGGATTTAACCCAGGGGTGCTTTACCACTGAGTTACACCTCTAGCCCTTTTTTATTTAGAGACAAGGTCTCACCAAGTTACTTAGGGACTTGCTAAGTTGCTGAGGCTAGCCTCAAAGTTATGATCCTCCTGCCTCACCCTCCCAAGTCACTGGAATTACAGTTGTGCACCACTGTGTCCAGCCTAAATTTCTTCTTTCTGGACTTGCTCCTAGTCTGGGCCAGTATTCCCTATTTTATTTCTCTCTCCACCCCGCTTTTTTTTGGTTCCAGGGATTGGATTCAGGGGCACTCGACCACTGAGCCACATCCCCAGTCTTATTTTGTATTTTATATTTTATTTAGAGACAGGGTCTCACTGAGTTGCTTAGTACCTCTCTTTTACTGAGGCTGGCTTTGAAGTCACGATCCTCCTGTCTCAGTCTCCACAGCCTCTGGGATTATAGGCATGTGCCACCACATCTGGCTTTTCTTTTTCTTTTTTTATCTGAAGACACTATGTATTGAGGATCACATTCTGATTTGAGTTTATCTGGTCCAGGAGTTGTCCTTTAGATGATTACCTGAGTGGGCGTGATTCTTCCTTCGGGGAGTCTGAGGGAAGGGGCTCAATGCTGGAAGTTTCCCGATCCCGTGAAAGCACGTCTTTGACATCCCCATCCTTAGAGGATGGGACTAGCTGGGTCTTGGAGGTAGAAATCATATCTAGGTCCTTGCCACTCACAGGGCTGCTAGCACCTTCCTTTCTTGCTGATGAGCTGGAGGAAGAAGCAAAGAAACCCCAGGGCTCAGTCATGGGCAGTAAGGTAACTCAGGCATGGAGGTGTGACCTTTCTCAGCCCTCACTCCACCAGGCATCCACCTCACTCAGCTCCTTTTTTTTTTTTTCCTTCTTCTTGGTGTTGGCATTGGATAGAGCCCAGGACCTTGTGCATGCTAGGCAGGCATTCTGCCACGCCAGCTCTTATCCTAATTATGTCCCAAGGACAAACAGTATGACCCTAAGCCATGCAGACGGGGAAGAGGAGGAGAGCATTTTTCTCCTTTTATCAGAATGAGGATCCCTCAGCAATCCCAGCAGGACACACCTAGGAAGAACAGGTTGTCTTTTTTATGGTTTAGATCTGTAATATCCCCCTAAAGCTCAAGTGTTGAAGGCTTTGTTCCCAAGATAGCAATGTTCATGTTTGTCTGGCATGCACAAGGCCCTGGGTTCAATCCCCAGCACCTCAAAGCAATGCTCAGAGATGGGGCCTTCAGAAGGTCATTGGATTTTTTTTTTTTTTTTAAGAGAGAGAGGGAGAGAGAAATTTTTTATATATATTTATTTTTTAGTTTTTGGCAGACACAACATCTTTTGTTTGTGTGTGGTGCTGAGGATCGAACCCAGGCCGCACGCATGCCAGTCGAGCGCGCTACCACTTGAGCCACATCCCCAGCCCTGGTGATTGGATCTTGAGGGCTCTAACCTCATCACAGGATTAATCTATTGATGGATTCACAATTCACTGAGCTATTGGGAGGTGCTAAAAACTTAGGAGGGAGTAGGTCCTTGGAGGCATCCTCTCAGGGTCTACATTTATCCCCAGCCCTTCCTCTGTCTCTCATTCTTTGCTTCCCAACAGCCATGATATAAGCAGCTCTGTCCTGCCAATGCTCCCTGCCAGGATGTTCTGCCTCACCACTGGCCCAGAACAATGGGGCCAAGTGACCATGAAATGAAACCTTAAGCCAAAATAAGTCTCTCCTCGTTTAAGGTGTTTATCTCAGATATTTTGCTCCAGTGACAGAAAGCTGACTGACACACTCTCCATGGGCTTCAAATCATGTGGACCTGTGGGGCGGACTGCAAGCTCTCAGAAACCACTATGCCCTGGGAAGAAACCCCATCAGGCCTGTCTGTGGGCCAATGGCAAATCAGGACAGGTCTGCCCTGTGGCTCTGACCAGTCCTTGGTCTGTGCTTCCCACCTGCATCAGTGCCCATACCAGCTCCCAGAAAAATAGCCATCCTCCCTCTCCAAGTGATGGCACTTCATGTGCCTTCCCTTTAGGAGCAGCACATCTGAGCAGGACTCTGCTGGCAAGAGCAGGCCCTGGCTCACTCCACGATTTCCTCCTCCTCTTGTAACAAGTGTTGCTTAGAAAATCAAGCTTAATGCATGTTATTGTACCGACTACTGAACAGAGAAAGCTGGGACATGATTGCTTCTCCTAAAGGGGCAGGTAGTGACCAGGGTCATTGGCATCCTCTGCTACATGACTCCTGTCCTACATGTGACGTTTTTCTACAATCCACATTGGCCCATGTGCATGGACTATACTCACTCACTTATCTTCACAATGCCCTCAATGACTTTGATGTTATTATTTATTATTCTCATTTTAAGGATGAGGAAACAGAGACATAGATGGGTTCTCATACCTCTTATTCAAGGTGATTCCTAGGTTCTAAGAAGCCCAGAGTGGGAGGTGAGGCCAGACATCACTCTGAAGTCTGCACCTCTGTCTCCTGCTACACAGCCCAGCCTGGACATAGCATATTAAGTGGACCTAAACACTTTTCCTACCTTGTACATACAAATGAGTCTTGCCTGAAAGGTGAACTGGAGACTTAAGTGATTTTTACAGTGGAAGTACTCTGTTGAAGTGGTGATGGGGGGACCACAGGAAGTACCAGAGACCTCTGTATGCTGGCTGAGATCCTCTCCCCAACTTTATTACTCCACAATGGTATGATATGGGGAAGTGAATTCTCCTCTTGAGCCCCAGTTTCTTCATTAGTAAAACAGATATTAATTTCCACCTCTCAGGGTTGCTGTGAAGGTTAGAGGTGACACTTGTATTATGGCTGGTTCCAAACTGGTCCCAACCTGAGCCTCAAGGCTATACTAGCACTGACAGCAGTAATATCCATTGTGACTACCCAGTAGCTGAGACACAAGGGTAGGGGAAGACACAGTAGGCCAGGTACTAAGCAAGAAGAGCACCAAGTAGGCCAGGTACTAAGGTACTAAGCAAGAAGAGCAGGAAGAGCACTCACCTGGGCGGATCTTTGACTGTCTTCTTGGACTTGGATTTCTTCCCAGGTTTGGTAGAGAAAGGGGCAACTCCAAGTCCAAAGCCTTGTCCATCAGGCTCACCTACTAGGTGGCCATTAACATCAATAAGCCCTGCCTGAACAGAAAGGTGAGCCAAAGGGTCTGGGTTAGACTGAAAGTTTGGGTCCCTCATCAACACAAGTGTATATGGCCCAAGGCTTGGGGTGGGTATGTTCACCCCATAAACCAAGACTTGGCTGCTGCTGATGCCAGTCTGTTCTCAACAGGGCTGTCCCTGACCACCCTGATGAATGTTTACTTTCCATATCAAGGCACTGACTAATCCATCCCTGAGGATTGTTGGGAGCTGCCCTGGATGCAGACACCTTTAAGTCCTGATGCACCAGGGTTCTGAACAATTATTGCCTTCAGTCTGGGAAGGTAGTGCCAGGTTGCAGTAACTTGGGCATTACCAAGGTGTGGCTCCAAGAGTAGGCGTCACCTGCTGGGGTTGAGTTATACTCACTGTTCCTTTGTTATCCTACCCCTTTGCCCTTTTGGGGATAGATTGTTCCATGGAACCTTCCCTTGTGTGTCCCCTAGATAAGTATAAAGAATTCCAGTGGCTTTCTCTCTTTCCATGGACCCTTAAGGTTGGAGAGACATCATGGATTTTGAAGGACCCTTAAGGTTGGAGAGATGTCATGGATTTTGAAAAGTACTTCTGTGTGTTTGTGTGCTTTTTTAAAATCATTTTCTTAAGTTATTGGAATAGTCAGATTTTGTGAATCCAGCATTAGGTCGCCAGCTAGGATAGATGGCGATGGAGGATCTTCTTCTTCTTCTTCTTTTTTTTTTTTTTGGTGGTACTAGGAAACAACTCTTGGGCACCGTTAACACTGAGCTGTATTTCCAGTCCTTTTTCAATTTTATTTTATTTTATTTTAAGACAGGTTTCACTAGGTTGCTAAGGCTGGTCTCAAATTTGAGATCTGTCTGCCTCAGCCTCTTGAGTCACTGTGATTACAGATGTGTGCCACCATGCCCAGCTCATTCCTGAGGATCTTAACACCTATTGCCAACCTAATTCCAGGAATTGGTCTTGTTTATTATTAGCCACTTCTATAAATTATCTCCAATTTACAGAAGTCATTTTCAAAGCAAAAGTGGTTTATTCTTGCATATTCTGGTGTTACCTTCCCTGTGGCAATCCTAGCTCTGGGTTAATACACTATACCTGCTGCTTCTGTAAAGGTTTGACTGAAGATGGAAAGTTGGAGGTAAGTACTTTCAGCAAGAGGTAACTGTGCTTACCTTCTGGACAGCAGAAATTGTTGCAAAGTCATTCTTGTCTATAAGAGTGTACTTCCTACGTAAGGCCGCCTCCACTTCCTGTTCCTGTTGGCTTGGGAAAGAAAGTGAGAGAATATAGTGGTTATGCTGAGTAAGCTCAGGCATGAACCAAGTACTGGGATTAGAGGTTGTTTGGATGAAATCCCATGTATGTGATAAGGGTAACCCCTATCATCAAGAGCCAGAGCACAAAGCAGACAAAAGGGCTCATCTTCTCTCTACAATTCACATAGCATTATCCAGCTCCAAAACCTGAACAAGCCACCCTTTGCACCAAATGCATCTGCTCCAAGATGACACTTAATAAAGGCTTTAAGCCTGACCGGGGATCATGCTGACTCAGAGGTTCTATCTTGAACAGGCCCCTCAGAATCATGTGACCAGCTTCTGTGACATCAGCCAGTATGAGCTACTCAGGCTGTGGGTATACCTGTACCCAAATAAACCATAAATGCCTCCTGAGGTTGGGTATGAGAAAGATTCATGATCCCTGATTTGGGCACATTTAGGGCTAGCACTCCATAAGACTTCCTGTTTAAATAATGAACTCAATAAACATCCATCCAGGACCTGGGCATCCCCAAACACTGCTCTGGCTCCTCTTATGGGAGAAAGAAAGGGATGTTCTTGGAGGCAGGTTCCCAGACCACAGGAAATGAAAATAGTAGCCTGAAATGAGAATGGGGGGGCCATAAAGAAGTCCCTCACCTCAGAACCACCCGGAACTGGTTGAATACCTCCTGGATCTGTCTGAGGTTGATTATCTGGAGGGAAGTGAACAAGGCAGAAGTTAGATCATGGGTACACCAAGGGCCTAAGCTGTGGTTATGTTAGCAGAGAAATCTGGATCCCTTAGCTGACTCAGACCATCTTGTTTTGAGAATGGGTCATCTGCAAACAGCCTCTCAGTAAAGTGGTAGTCAAGCCCTCCTCAAGATCAGAGAAACACCTGATTAATAGCTTTAAGACTAAATATTTGCTAAATCTATAAAAACCACTTTTTCTAAGTGAAGATCTCTATAAAATCTAAGCAGAGATCTTTGGTTCTTGAAAACATTTTCTAAGAAAGAAACTTTAATAAAATTTAATCAACTCTCTCCTGTTTCCAAAAGGTTCAGCCTGCCATCTTCAGATGGACCCCATTAACAAACATTTAGGTGTGGGTACATCTGTGGCTGGAGAAAGGTCACTAGTTTCCCTCCTGGCACTAATGCTTATGGCATTACCCCTGTTCAAAAGCTAGTTTGAGAATGTCCCTGCCAGGCATACTGGTACACATCTGCAGGCTGAGGCAGGAAGATCTCAGGGTCGAGGTCAGCCTCAGCAACTTAGCGAGACCCTGTTTCAAAATAAAAAATGAAAAAGGGGCTGGGAATGCAGCTCAGTGGTAAAGTATCCCTAGGTTCAATACCCAGTACCAAAACAAAACAAATAAATAAAGAAAAAATATAAGAATGGCCCTGCTGAGAAAGCCATAAGAGCCCAACCCTCAGATGTCCCAGACCTGCCTCTTGCAAACTGCCAACACTAACAGCTGGGGAGCAGGGAAAGGTAGGGGCCTATGTGGCTCCCTGGTGAGGGTTTGATGGCCTGCACTGTAAGAACAGGATGTATTTTCCCCCGAGAGCCCTTCCTTGTGTATCTGCTGTTTCTCCTCCTTGGCCCTTTCCAACATGGGCCCTGGGAGTCCTCCTTGTAGACAACCAGTCTTACTGCCATGCTTTATCAATTTCATTTCACCAGGCACTGGCAAGCACCTGAGGGGCAGCAGCTCAGTTAATCACAGCTCAGTTTCCCTCCTCACTATGCACATGGAGCCACTGAAGTATCTGACAGTCATTTAGGCAGGAGATAGCTGAGCCGGAATTCCATCCAGGCAGCCTGGCTCCAGGGCCTATGCTTACACCCCTGAGACAGACCACCTCCCGTACATTGTGTGTTTAAGAGCACACTCTGTGGAGCCCCATAGCCTTGAAACCCTCAACACTGAAGCTGAGGCTATGATGGGTTGAAGGGGTCCAGCATGACATCCCCAGCCCACTACATCCATTTAGTGTCAGGTTCCAAAGCCAGCAGAGCACATAGTAGGTGTGCCTAGGACAGGGAGGCCCAAGCCAACTGAGCATGGTGTCCTATAAATGGGCTCCTTACGTCAATTTCGTCCAGTGTCCCTTCCAGGTACCTCCGCACCTGGGAGTTGATCTCAGCAATCTGGATTTCATCCATGGGGTCATAGGTCACAATGTTGCGGTTGGCCTTGAAGGAAGAAGAACATGTGGTAGGTAAATAGTTAGGACTTGAGCCCACATAGGAGTAGCAGGGGTCATTCTGAGAACCAAAGTTGGAGACTGGGCACATCCCCTAGATGCCAAAGCTGGTCCTATTTGCTTCACCATCTGTCACAGAGGGCCAAGTGCTTGGGATAGAGAAAGGTAATGGATGGGATGAGGGAAGGAAAGACCACTGGACTTGAAGCCTGATGCTCCAGAATGTTCTACTGGCTAAATCTCAGTAGACCACAAAATGGGATAAGTTGCCTCTGCTTTGAAGACCCTCAGGACCATGAACATCAGCTCAGGCAGGACCTCACCCTACCCTCTCCCTCATAACCCCTGCTGCTGCCCCTTCCCCACCACCTAATCTGTCCCACCTCCCCTGAGCTTGACCCATATGTTGTATGCCCTTGGCCCCATGCCCTCTAGCATCCTTTGCCTGCAACCCCTTACCAGACTGTCATGGATGGCTAGCTCCTGCTTGAGCAATACTAGCTCCTTCTCCAGGTTCTTGACCATTCGCTGCCAGGGAAACATAAAAGAAGGGGAGATCATCAGAGAAACCACTCTCCCTCTTCCACACAATTCCTTATTCTGTGCCCAGACATCCTGGCAATCCCCAGGGTTTATGCTCAGTTTCTAGGCCATTCCTTCCCTGCTGGTGACCCTTTCCCAACAAGAATGAGTAGGGTTTGAGAGGCTTTAGTGCTCCCCTTGCCTTTGCCTTATCCAACAGAGTAAACTGAGAACAGACAGAACACAGGCCACAGTTCCACCTCACACCCTGACTCCCCAGGGCCCCAGGCTTTTCCTAATCACCCAGCATAACAGCCCTTTCACTGCAGCCCACCGGCTCCAGGATGCTTGCTATGCATCCTTAGCCTTGCCAACCACTGCATGAACCTGTTACCATTCCCCAGTAATGATCACTTCTGTGGCGCACACCTATAATCCTGGTGGCTCGGGAGGCTGAGGCAGGAGGATTGCAAGTTCAAAGCCTCAGCAATTGCAAGGCACCAAGCAACTCAGTGAGACCCTGTTTCTAAATAAAATACAAACTAGGGGTGGGGACATGGCTCAGTGGTTGAATGCCCCTGAGTTCAATCCCTGATACCCACTCCCGCCAAAAAATACTAATAATGATTACTTCCATCACTTCTAATTTTTTGCCGCTGTAAGAATGTCTTTGTGCTAATATTTCTGTGTCCTTATAGATTTCTGTAGGATAACAGTTATCTGTGCAGCTCTGTGTAATCTGCCCCCATTATCCCTTTTCTACTGCTCTCTCCTGGCCCATTCTATTCTCTCCAAATTGGTGTACTCATGCCTGTGCATGCCTACTCCTCTGCCTAGGGATGCTTTTCTCCCATGTATTTCCATGATTCACTCCAAAACCTCCTTAAAATCTTTCTTCAAAAGCTTCTCAATTAGATGTACCAGTCAACTTTTTAAAAATTGCAGTCCCCTACCCATCTCCACACCACTCTTTTTAAAAAAAAATTTTTTAGTTGTAGATGAACACAATATCTTTGTTTGTTTTTTATTTTTTTATACTTTTATTTTATTTACTTATCTTTATGTGGTGCTGAGGATCAAACCCAGGGCCTCGAAAGCACTAGGCGAGTGCTCTACCGCTGAGCCACAATTCTAGCCCTATTTATTTTTTTTATGTGGTGCTGTGGATTGAACCCAGTGCTTCACACATGCGAGGTAAGCGCTCAACCACTGAACTACAACCCCAACCCTCTCACCACTGTTTTTAAAAATTTTACTCTAAGAAAAATCTCACTCTATTTTCATAGCGCATATTACCTTCCAACATACTCTCAACCAGTGCTGTCTAACAGAACCTTCAGTAATGATGAAAATGTTCTCTGTGTTGTCTATTAGACACTTGAAATGTGGCCAGTGTGACTGAAGAAATGAATTTCTCAATGTTACGGAATACCACATGAGTAGGGGTTACTGAATTGGACATGAAGCTCTATTTTTTTAATTTGATACTGGGAATCAGATCCAGGGTCTTGCACATGCTAAGCAGGTGCTCTACCACTGAGCACCACTCCCCAGTCCTAGAACTTACCTATTTATTGTGCTTATTATTATCTATTTCTTCTACTTCCAGTGGACTCTAAGTGCTATGGTTTGGATCTTAAATATCTCCCAAAGGCCCATGTGTTAAAGGCTTGGTCCCAGGGTGGTGCTATTGGGAAATGGCGGAACTTTTTAAGAGGTAGGGCCTCGTAGGAGGTCTTCAGGTCATTGAGAGCTTGCAGTTGGAGGGGATATGAGGATCCTGGCTCCTTTGGCCTTCTCTCCTGCTTCCTGGCCATGACATTTGAGAATGCTCCATCATGCCCCTCCCACCCTAATGTGCTGTTTCACCCCAGGCCCAAAGCAATGGAGCCAATAGACCATGGATGGGAACCTCTAAAAGTATAAGCCAAAATAAACTTTTCTCTTTTTTATTATCTCAGGTATTTTCTTTCTTTCTTTTTCTATTTTTGGTACTGGGGTATTGAACCTAGGGGTGTTCTACTGCTGAGCTACATCTGCAGACCTTTATTATTTTTTATTTTGAGAATTAATTTTGCTAAGTTGTTTAGATCCTCGCTAAGTTGCTGAGGGTGCCCTCAAACTTGCAATCCTCCTACCTCAGCCTCCCAAGTTGCTGGCATTAACAGTTGTGCACCATCATAGCCAGCTCAGGTATTTTCTTAGAGTGATGGAAAGCTGACTAACACAGTAAGCTCGGGCAGAGATTGTTATTTTGGTTCATGCAGCTCTGTGTCCCAAATGCTTCAAAGAGTACTGGCACATTAGTAAAGACTCCATTAATAGATTTAGGCTCAAGTGGAGAAATGACACCAGAGGCAGAATTGTTAAGTCATTTACATCATTTGATAGATATTACCTGAATGCCTTTCATAAAAGATGTTGAGAACCTTCACTGTGAACAGGGTTTTCTTTTGTTGTCACAAAATGGCCACTGGAGGGAGCCCCTGACACCTGGATCCTGGGACTAGTGACCAGTTCACAGCCCCACTGGCTTTCTTAATACAGTCCTCATCCAGCCAGATCATCTGGGTACTGAAGTCCACCGGTCACTGTGCCCTCACCTAGCAAGGGGCACCAGACATCTGGCATTAAGGTGGCTCTGTGACAATTCTGGCACAAAACCTGGGGCTCAAGGTACGTGATCAGAGTTCCAAACTTTGGCCTAGTCCCTTAGGAAGTCCCATGTAGGTCTCTTTCAGGCATGGACTTCCTGTGTGGTCAAGAGGAGAGGCTTGGTGGCCAGCCCCAATTGTCCCCATGCCCTCTTCCCAGCTCTGGAAAATGCATTATGCCCCAGGTAGGGAAAGTCTGGCTGAGCTGTTGGGACCTCTAGCTGGATGACAGTTCAGTGTGGCACACCTTGGGTCAATCAGAGGATGGTATGGGGAAATGAGCCATCTACTCCCATGAGGCACCAGCATCTGACTCACACTATGAGAATTCATGAGATGTTTCTTCTAAGACCTGGTAGGCATAATAGCCTTTTCTACTTCCTGGAACAGGGGTGGAACAGCACACCCTACAGATCAGGGTCTAGCAGCACTTCCTGGCTGACCGACTCCTTTATTACACCAGTAACATTTTTTTGGGATAGAAAAATGCCTTGGAGGGGCTGGGGATGTGGCTCAAGTGGTAGTACGCTTGCCTGGCATGCGCAAGGAACTGGGTTCGATTCTCAGCACCACATAAAAATAAAATAAAGATATTGTGTCGACCTAAAACTAAAAAATAATAAAATATTTTTAAAAAGAAAAAGAAAAATGCCTTGGAAATGGCATAAACTCATATAAGTTCCCTGATGCCTAGGCATTTCTATCTCAAATGTAATAGGATAATTCAGAGTTCTGCTTCAATCCTACACCAGGCTGCTGGGTAACTTTCAGGACAGACACCTTCTTCATTTTGATTACACTGCAACATAAGGTTTTTTTTTTTTTTTTCCCCCACTTGGCAGAAATACTGAGCTTGTCTCTGTTGTCTGTTTATGCCTGAGGCTCACACCACCTCGGAGATTCACAGACTGACAGAGTAGGAAGGTCACCAGATAGCATCAGTCTAACCTCCATGTTCACAGAAGAAGATTCTGAGGCTCAGAGTCTGAGCAGCTTACTACAGAAAGCTGGAGGCAGAAGTAGATTAGGAACCCAGTCCCCCAACTCACAGCCAGCCCTACCAGCCAAGGAAATTCTGCAGAAGCTATTCCAACCCCTGGAAAACAGGCATGATACTGAAAAAAGTGCTACAAATACCTAGAAATACTGGCTGCAGGTGGCAACCAAATAAAGAAAACGTCAAGCCTACAGGAAAGAATGCCAGTGAAACCTGGGTGGCCACCCCAAATCTAACTTTGATAGCATGGTACTATAGAGGCTCCAGTTTGTTTGTTTGTTTTCCAGATAAATGTGAAGCCCCTGCATACCCCACTCCATGTCTACTCCCCTACCACCCCAGGGGAACCTCTGGCCTCAGGTGGTCTTTCATTTCCATGCATCTTCTCTTCTACTGCACACATATATCCATTGATGATAACTGACATCATTCTGCATGTTTTTACACTTAGTGTAAATAATACATGCTGGCATTTTATCCACTTTTATCCTCAAGTTGTTTTCTCACGTGATGTTTACTCATGCTGGTAACTCTAGCTCTGGCTTCCTCATTCTATAACATTTGAGTTCCTCTCCTGTGAAAGGTACTGATTTCTGGGTGCAGTGGTGTACTCCTATAATCCCAGTGAATCGGGAGGCTGAGGCAGGAAGATAGCAAGTTTGAGGGCAGCCTCAGCAACTTTCTGAGGCTCTAAGCAACTTTCTGAGGCACTGTCTCTAAATAAAAAATAAAAAGAGAGATGGGGATGTGGCTCAATAGTTACAGTAGTAAAGCACCCCGGGTTCAATCCTTGGTACCAAAAAAGAAAAAAAAAAAAGAAAGAAAGAAAATAAAGGGTACTGGCGGTGTTTCTAACCTTTCATTATAATAATAAGCACTGTGAGCACCATTCTTGGGAGTATCTCTAGACTATATATTAGAAGTGACACTGTTACTCTGTTGATCCTGTCAAATATTAGAGTGCTAGCTAATATTTATGGAACATTTTCTCCATGACAGCACTGGGCTAAGAAGTTTGTACACATTTACTGATTCTTCACAAGATCTCTTTTGAGAGTGGAATTCTATTATTTCTCCAGGACGGTCCAGCCCAGGGGTCCAGTTCTTAACTACTATGCCAGTGGTTCTCAAACCATAGCCCCCAGAGCAGCAGCAGCAAAAGCTTCATCACTTGGGAACTTATTAGAAATGCAAATCCTCAGGTCCCAACCCAGACAGACTAAATCAGAAACTCTGGGAATGGATCCAGAACCCACAGTTCAGCAGGCTGGCCAGGTGATTCTGATGGCTGGGCAAGTTTGAGAACCACTACCTCAAACCATGAGTTAGTTCTACAGTGCCATGGGACTGTCCTTTTCTTCAGGATTTAGAACCTGGAAAGTTTAACTGGTTTGTCATGAGCTTAGGGTCCCTGCCTCCAAAAACTATGATTCTGCAGGCATCTTAAAAGAAAGCCAAATTATCAGTAAATGTGTTTTTGCTTTATCAGATGTTGTCAAAATGCTCCCCAAATGATTGTATAAATTCATTCTGACTAGAAATGGGGAAAAAAGTCTAGAAAAAATCATTTTGCCTTATCAGAAAAATTCCAATTTTTGCTAGTGTGAGGATGTAACATTTTAATTTGCATTTTCTGGTTAAAGGCTTGTGTGGTTTCCTGCCTCAGCCAAAGAAACACACACAGAGGCAAACCCACCCACATCTTCCCACAGTGGCAAGTGCCTACAAGCCCCTTAGTACCTCAGCATTGTACTTTTCGTTGATGGCAGGCTCAGTGGTGACCAGCTTCATCCTGCTGGCAAATCGCAGTGAGGATAACTGAAAAACAGACCAGGCAGATGGATGTCAGATGGCTTCCCACTCAAGTGAGACCCCAAGAAAGCTGCCTTACTCAGAGACCTCTCCTGTTTCTTCAGGCACCTTGTCAACTGGTGTTGGTTCTCTTCCCTCAGGAAACCTTGGCTGGAAGGGTGTTTGAGGGGTAGGACTGGGGGTCAACAGGAGAGTGCCTGCTTAGCATGTACCAGGGCCTGGGTTCAATCCCCAGAATCAAAAAATAATATAAAAAAAAATAAAAAGGGTTAGCTGGGCACAGTGGCTCACACCTGTAATGCCAGCAACTCTGAGGCAGGAGGATCGGGAGTTCAAAGCCAGCCTCAGCAAAAGCGAGGTGCTAATAAGCAACTCAGTGAGACCCTATCTCTAAATAAAATATAAAAAAGGGCTGGGGATGTGGCTCAGTGGTTAAGCACCCCTGAGTTCAATCCCTGGTACCAATAAAATAAAATAAAAATAAATAAATAAAAGTGTCCCCCAGTGGGATAAGGAATATAATAGGGAGAGCAGGAAGTTGACAGAGAGTACATAATGCAGCCTGGTCCTCAGTTTATACACTACAGGGATGCTACTTAGTGGTAAAGCCAAAAATCTAATTCAGCAGAGTTTAAACTGTGTGTGTGCATGTGTACTGGTTGGCCTCTGTCTTTGGAAAACAGTGGGTGGAGATATTTGTAAAATGAACAAAAGGAGACCACTGTGAAAGGTGAACCCTAAACAGAAACCTGCTCCACATGCCTCTTAAGCCCACCAGGTTCCACCAGAATCCCTCTGGAGGGGCAGCCAGCCAGGGATAATTATGAAAGGAGACTTATGAGGTGGCCACATGAGCAGGTATTTTGGAAATGGCCCAGATGCTATGCCCCACTGCACGATGTCAGATGAGGGCTGGAGTGCTCCTTCTTGGCAGAAAGGAGCAGACAGAAGCATCAGGAAGCAGACATGGAGATTCCAGCCTCATCCCATGCTGGGCTGACTGTCGCCAAAGGGGCCTTGAAATAAGGAAGGTTTGGAAAGGGGATGGGTTGCCTCAAGGAAGTGGTCCCTCAAGGAAGAACTGAAAGGATTCTTCCTTGGCTGTCGGGTCTGGTAGTTAAGAACTCTTCCACTCACTACTTGTGTGACCTCAGATAGATCTCCCCTCTTCCTTGTAAAGTGAAGGGAGCCCTGCCTTGTGGGATCCCTGGGAGGCTTAGTGGCAAAGTATACAATGTCAGCCCTCAGAAGTCCCTATTGTGAGAGATGGTATTGCTTCTGTGAAGGGCCAAATCAGACCCTCCTATTCTAAGCACAGCAGCCAAGTGTAGTCATGACTCCATTGCTGTGGTTACACACACACACACACACACACACACACACAATATATCGGTGTACAAAGTAACACAATCCATGCCAGAAACATTTTTTTTTATAGTTTGTTGCTGTTTAATCCCCAAAATACAATTAGGACAGAATTAGCTTTAAAAAATCTATTAAAAAATTTAATAGAAAACTTTGCTATGGATTTAATCTTACCCATTTTGCATTAAATTTGCCTTTAGAAATCAAAACATATGGCTCTCATTCTTAAATTAAATGACCAAAAATGTTAGAAATTCCAAAGAAGTTCTGAGAAAAATTATGGTTTAAAATAATAAAATTTAAATATTTAAAAAAATGGCCTAAAATTTTTCTCCCATAGTTTCTTCTTTTGTTATTCTTCTATTGGGACAAGCAAATCTGCAATACCAAAATATTTGTTAAACATAAGGGTCACAGTTATTAAAAAATTATTTCTTCTAAATTTCAAATTTATCCACTGTTAGTCATCTAATTAGAGAAAACAATGAACACTAATTTTAAATTTAATTCTTCACAATATGCTTGGTAGAAACATTTTATAGTTTTAAAACATTTGTAGAAGAGAATGATTAGTTTCCACACCCTCATATATCTTTGTCCCAAACACCTGAGGCCCTCCCTATAGGTCTGTGGGCTCTCCTGGATAGAGACCCTGACTGGTGGGGCATTAGGCCCTGTAAGTACCAGGAGAGGTGCTTCCTGTGCTGTGGAAAGGGGGCTTCCACTGTCATGGAGAGCATGTGCAGGAGTATGTATGTGGGGTGCTGGGGAATGGAGCCCAGGTTTCACAAATGCCAGGCTCTACCATGGAGCCCAACCCCAGCCCAGAGGACGTCTTTCTTAATGAGGCATCCAAGGGACCCGTTTTTTATGACTCCCCTTGGGGTTTCACCATGCTTTGTTATGAGATGAGACCAAGAGATTCCTGTAGCCTTCCTCTGAGGATGCCACCTGCACGTCAGCTAGAGCTCCTTGCCCCAGCCTCCCAAGTCCCAGGGCACTGGATTCATGGCAGGTGTACTCCCCCTGGAAGTTAGGACTGTATCTAATGAACACCACTTGGAGGCCTTGCAGGTGTGCATTGCCCCATAGCATCCTGTTTCACCTAAATGAAAAGGGTTGCCTTAAGTATCCATACTTTTTTTCCCCCTGTACTGAGGATTGAACCCAGGGGTGCTCTACTACTGAGTTACACCTGCTAGTCATTTTATTTTGAGACAGGATCTTCCTAAGTTGCCCAGGATGGCCTTGAACTTGTGATCCTCCTGCCTCAGCCTCCTTAGTCACTGGAAATACAGGCATATGCCACAGCATCCAACCAAATATTCACACTTGTAGAGTAACGTATCTAGTGATGGCCTTCCAGACCTGTCTTATTTATGATGAGAGGCTCTTCAAAGGAGAGGAGGAAGCCCAGCCTGGAGGGGTCCAACTGTGTGAACTCACCTGAGTCACTGTGTTGAACCTTATTTCTGCCTCTGGTTCCCAAGAGCCTCTCCTCTCCCCTGGTCACATGGGTCATGCCACTGGGTTAGTCTTCATAAATCATACCTGTGGCCACAGCTCTTCCCTACTCAAACCCTGTGGTGGCTCCAGCCACTTACAGGAGAATAGCCAAGTGTTCAGCCTGGTGACCAGGTACCATTCAATCTTGCAAATTTTCTTTCTCTCCTTCCTGAGCTCTCCTCTGCAGGAGCCAGATGTTCCTGGCATGGGTCACAACTTCAGTCCCACTGTTACCTCTGCCAGGAATGCCTCTGCTCATCCTATCACCAATCCTTAAACTCCAGCCAGCTCAGTGCCAATAGCTTCAGGAAAAGTCCCCCTTCTTTCCTCCCTGGACTCCTCTACAGGGATCCTCCATCTTGGCCTTTCGCATTACTTAAGGCCATGGTTTCTTTCTTCCTGGGCTGGGAACTCTGAAGCTCAAAGCCAGAGTGATATGACTCATCTCTACCAAGCTGATCCCTGTTTACCACTGGTACATGGCAGGTTTTAATACCTATCTACTCATACCAGCCTTAGTAGTATAGCCTTGAACACTGTAGTGTTTTCAAGATGTTCAAATATGTGTGATCATAAAGAACAATCAACTGTCCTTCTCAATCCAAACTCAGAGGAGCAGCCCCCCCAGGAGGCATGTGCCTTCCCTCCTTTGATAATCTCTCTTGCCCAGCCAGCCTCCCGCCTTGTCTTCTTCCTTAACACAGTTCAGTGCTTGGTGTTTGGATCCATGACTGAGCCCCTCAGGGAAATTTTGGCTCAGACTCCTCCCTGGGATCCTTGATAATGACTATGGCTAGTGTGGCAGCTAAGCCAATCAGGAGCCAGTCTTACCCAGTTCTGGCACTCATGAAGAGGGACTCCAGTCTAGTTGCATGGACTTTTTTTTTAGATGTCAATGGACCTTTATTTTATTTATTTATATATGGTGCTGAGGATCAAACCCAGGGCCTCAAACATGCTAGGCAAGTGCTCTACCACTGAGCCAAAACCCCAGCCTGCAGTGGCTGTCTTTACGTACCGTTTCTTCCAACTGGGCGGCTTCTCCATAGATGTTTGTCACAAGGACCATATTGCAATTTCCCCCTGTAGAAAGACACAGAAGGGCATGAATCATGTGGATCTTCTCCTAGGAGACTCCCTTGGGGCTGGTGGGGTTCTGTTATGGACTGCATGTTTGTATCTCCACAAAATTCATATGTTGAAGCCCTAACCCTCAAAGTCCAATCTCCAAGTACCTATGTGACAGTATTTGGAGGTAGGGACTTTGGGAGATAATTAGATTTAGAAGAGGTGGGGCTACTATAACGGAATTATTGTTCTCATAAGAAAAGAGATTAGAACACTCTTTCTGTGTGAGGATGTAGCCAGAAGGTGGCCATTTGTAAGCCAGGAAGAGGACCCTCATCAGGAATCAAATAAGCCAGCACCTTGAACTTCCAGCCTCTAAAACTATGAGAAATATGTTTATTGTTTAAATTACTCAGTCTATGATATTTTGTTTTATCAGCCCAAACTAAGAGTCAGATAAGACAACCTAAGCCTGTATAATGCTGAGGGAGAGAAAGAGGCCATCAGATGTACCTAAAAGAGGAGCCAAGAGACAACAGTAGATAGCAGTGGGCGGGGGAAGGGGACAGGGTCAGGATAGAGGGTGTGAGCCAGGGTTCCACTCAGGGCATCACTCACCTAACAATCAGAAAACAGTGACTGTGTCCTTAGGCCCAACATAAAGGCCTGAGGACCATGGAAATGACAAGACATAGGCCCCACTGCTCTGCCCAGGAGCTACAAGGGGAAGGAAGGACATGATGGGTGAGGTCCTCACCCTGGCCTTTGAGACCATGAAGGATTCTGGTTTAGGAACAAGGGGAAAAGACAAGGTATTCCCAGCAGAGGCAAAATCTTAAGTAAAGGTTCTGAGAAGTGAATTGCAATGGCATGTGCTGGAATCAAGAGGGTTTGATTCTGCTTTTTCAGGTGTGTCTGAAATCACGGTGAGAGGGCTGTGGGTAAGTTCATGCCCCTATGAGGGAGCAGTTCTAAAATCCACAGTGGCAGATGTGCCAGGCCTGCCCTCCCTGGGACACAAATCCTCCTTTCTGGGCACCAATCACATCCTCACCTAAGGAGTCCTTCAGGGCATGAGTGAGTTTGCACTGTCGGAAAGGGATGTGGTCCCGCTTATGGTCCCCAAGGGCAATGATGGCTTGCTCCAGGAAAGACAGCGACTTGTTGATGTAGGTGGCTTCCTTCAGAACTCGACCCTCGGACTACAAAGCAAAGGCAGTTCTACTTGAGAGGGAATGGCTAAGAATGGCTGCCCTCCTGGTTTGGGGTGATACTGCATGTTTACAGACAGGCTAAAACCTCCTTCCCAGAACCAGGGTCTTCCCTCAATGTTGTAGGGTTATATTCCATCTGGGGCTAATAAATGTAATACTGAAACTCAGGAACTTAAGACAACATTCATGTGAATATTCGCAAAAAATATGAATACTTACATGAATATTCATATAAATATTCAAAGATTTGCACTAACATAAATGCACATGGGAATACTAATACAGAGAGCTAAGCAAGTAACCTTATGAGCATTCACACAAACACCAATACAAAGCAACATGTGAATATGCATGTGGAATACTCTTGTGAATACTTGTGTTAATACACTCATATGAATATTTACTCGAAATGCAGACACTCATGTAAATATTTATATTCATACATAGAGAAACACTATACTAAAATGGAGTGTTTACTGAGCCAGGCACCTTGCTAATAATTTAGGGGCTATCATTTCATTTAAGGTTCAGAAAAATCCCATGGAGCTGAATTACCCCTCTGTAGCAGCCATTCCACCTGTACTAATTCTGTCCCACCAGCAAGCAGATGGATGTGCTGCACTTCACCTGGCTCAGGACTATGCCCTTATATCCCAGTGAGGGATAGTCCATATGCACAGGCACTGGGCCAGACACAGGTCCCATGTCTGGCTGAAAAGGAACCTCTTGCTCCTCTCACTTACCCCAGACTTCCCCAGCCTCTCTGAGCCTGCCAGATCCACCAAGTTAATTTTGGAAGTAACATACTTTTCATCTGATAAGGTCCGGGAATGCGCCTACAAAAAACATCCAAACAGAAGTTAGATGGTCCCAGGGAGGAGCATCTGACCAGACAGTCCCCAGGGGAATTGACTGCCCTTCCCAAGCTATTCAGAGCTGCACTCACCTCCATGTAGATGGTGAAAATGCAGTGTGACCTGGACGAGTTTTTGTTCATCGTGTGGGAAGCTATAATCCTGTTGGTCTCTCCCTGAAGAGGAAGGGAAATGTACACATACTGAAAAGTGAAAATAACAAGGCATTCCAATAACTCTTTCAATTATACCAATAGCTACACAAGTGATCTCATATCACTGTAATCAGTTGGGACTTCCAGAAAAACCTCTTTTATAAACTAGTAAAAAGGAGAGAAATTGGAGTCTAGACCTATACTTTTACCTGTGCTAGAGATGTGCAAATTGGTATTGCTCTCTGAAAAGCAAGGTGACAATAAGAATCAAGAGCCTTAAAATGGGGGCTGGAGGCTGGGCGCAGTGGTGCACACCTATAATCCCAGCAGCTCTGGAGATGGAGGCAGGAGGATCGGGAGTTCAAAGCCAGCCTCAGCAATTTTAGCAAGATGCTAAGCAACTCAGTGTGACCCTGTATCCAATAAAATACAAAATAGGGCTGGAGATGTGGCTCAGTGGTCAAGTTCCCCTGAGTTAAATCCCTGGTACCCCCCCAACAAAAAAATGGGGGCTGGAATTGTAGCTCAGTGGTACAGCATTTGCCTAGCATGTGTGAGGTACTGGGTTTGAGCCTCAGCACCACATAAAATAAATAAATAAAATAAAGGTACTGTGTCCATTTACAACTAAAAAAAAAAAGAGCCTTAAAATGTTCATGAATATTGAATTGGAATCAACCTGCACATCCAACAATCAGAGATCAATCAGTACAATAGAATATTAGGCATTCAGGAAAATACTAACACGTTTTTTAATACCTGAGAAATGCAGAATCTAAAATCACACTATGGTATGATCTAAAGGATACAAAAACATTTACAGACAAAATAAGAAGAATTTGCTACCAAGATGTTAAAAATAGGGCTGGGGTTATAGCTCAGTGGTAGAGTGCTTGCCTAGCACGTATGAGGCACTGGGTTGGATTCCCAGCACCATATAAAAATAAATAAATAAAATAAAGATATTGTGTCCATCTACAACTTTTTTTTTTTTTTTTTAGTACCAGGGATTAAACTCAGGGGCATTCAACCACTGAGCCACATCCCAGCCCTTTTTTTGTATTTTATTTAGAGACATGGTCTCATTGAATTGCTTAGGGCCTCCTAAATTGCTGATGCTGGCTTTGAATTTGTGATCCTCCAGCCTCAGCCTCCTGAGCAGCTGGGATTATAGGTATATGCCACCATGCCTAGCTCTAAAAAAAATTTCAAAAAAGATGTTAAAAATAATTGTTTTGGGGTTTATAGTCGAGTTGGGGTTTATAGGATTTTTTTCTCTACCATTTGTATTTCATATTTTTTACAGTAAACATGTATTACATGATCTATTTTTATTCATGGTTTTACTCTCTATGGTTTCAGTTACCTATAGTCAACTGAGGTCTGAAAATATTAAATAGAAAATTCCAGAAATAAACTATTCACAAGTTTTAAATAACTTTTATTATAGTGTATTTTTTTATTATAGTGTATCACTATAATTGTTCTGTTTTATTATTAGTGATTGTTAACTAATCACTTGTTGTACCTAATCTATAAATTAAATAAATTTATAAATTATCATAGGTCTATTTGGATAAGAAAAACACATAGTGTATATAGGGTTCAGTACTATCTGAGTTTTCAGATATCCACTGGGGGGTCTTGGAATGTATCTCTAATGCATAAAGGGGTACTACTTTACTTCTTAAATATAGGAAAAATAAGTAATTTATGTGTGTGTGTGTGTGCGCACGCGCGCGTGCGGTGAACATGTATGTGTGTGTTTGTTACCAGGGATTGAATCCAGGGGCACTTAACCACTGAGCCACATCCCCAGCACTTTTTTATATTTTATTAAAGACAGGGTCTCACTGAGTTGCTTTGGTCCTCATTAAGTTTCTGAGGCTGGCTTTGCACTTGTGATCCTCCTGCCTCAGCCACCCTCAAGTTACTGGGATTATAGGCATAAGCCACTGAGCCTGGCAATAATTTATATTTTTAAAGGGACAGTCAGCCCTTATCTTTAATTCATAGGATTGGACACTAAAACCAGAATACATTTACAAGGGGATATAGCAGAAATGGCTGTATTTAGAGAAAAAAACTCCTTACAGAATGAATTCCTGTCTCCTAAAAGACACCTGAGAAGTGCTATAAACAAGCCCCAAGCAGTGCTGCCATGGGCATCTGGGGAGAGGGGCTTTCCCCTGTTGAGGAGTGAGTCTGGTGGACCCCTATGGCAATGCATCTTCTGTTTACCTTTTGTACAAATCCAGTGACATTGGCTTATTTCACCTTTATTTGTCAGGCCCCTTCTTCTCAAGTACCCTTTTCCCCTTAACTTCCTGGCTCTTATTTAGCAAAGGGCCAGAGAAAGTACCATTTCCTCCATGCAGAGTCTTCTGCTGACTGACCCTGCCCTGCATCCACTGGGGTGACTGTCATTCCTGGAATAGGGCTCACACTGTGCTATAGTTGCCGTAGGTTTTTCCCACTCTCTTGCCCATCTCAGAGTGAGCTTCTTTAGGCCTTGCATTTGTCCTGTCACCACCAGAGCTCAGCAAGGACATGGTCCTGGAAGGCATCAAGGTTTGAGGAAATTATTGCTATTAACAAAGTGCCTATATTTATGTCTACATCCAGTGAGTGCTAGAGCAACGTTAATCATACACGGAGCAGCATCTACTGAGACCTATTGTGTAAAAGGCACTGCAGTGAGTGTTCAGGGTGCCCGGTCCTGATTCTCAGAACCTTTTGAGATAAGTACTATCAGTATCTACACTACAACAGATGAGCAAAGTAAGATTACGAGACTATGAGAGATTAATGATTTGCTCACAACTAGCCTTTATAGCTTTAAAGAAACATAAACTTAAGCCCAGGTTCCCTAATTCCAAGTTCTATATACTTGTTGTACTGTATTTTAGCCCTAAACAAGACAGAGGCTTCTATTTTTGGCAATATAATAGACTAAATATCTAGAAATCCTCCTGCCAAATACATGAAGGTGATGGGCAGTTTAAGACTCCTTTTGAATAACTGCCTGAGAAAGCAAGAAACTTCCTTTTGAATAACTGCCAGGGACCAGACTCAAAACAGGAATCTAAGGATTATAAGCAAGAACCAAGATTCTTACTGGGCACCTGCAGACTGTTGCTGATAGACAGTCCTCTCTGTACATCTCCCTGTTGTGCTGAGGTAGGAAACTGAGATGTTTCCTTTTCTTCTACAGCCCTTTGCTCTTCGCATTCTAGGGGAGGAAGACCTGGAACCTACCCACCCAAGCCATCTGTTCCCACTCAAAGGGTGATAAAATCTTTCTTTCTCAGAACCAAGTTTTTACATTCCAGGATCAAGATCTTATCTTTTTCCAAGAGAGAATTTGCTCATATTCCAGAGTAAAAGCAGACTGGGGGTAAAGCACATGCTTAGCAAGAAGGAGGCACCTGGGGTTCAATCTCTAGCACAAGGGAGGCACTGCACCCCGCCCCAACACACACAAACAAAACAACCTTCCCTTTGCCTCAACTTCCTGATTTATTTTGTTTTGTGTTTGCTTTTGCAGTGCATGGGAAACAAACCCAGGAACTTCACAAGTGTTCTACCATTGAGCTACCAGCCCTATCCCAACTTCCATCTCTCCAAGTATGTCCATGTGTTGAGAGCCACAGCCGAAGGGGCCCCAGCAAACTTCCAGCTGCCAGCAATCCAGCTGCCGGCTGATGATTGGCTCACAGCGGCCCCAGCAACATCTAGCTGATTGGCTCCTCGGCCCCAGCAACATCTAGCTGATTGGCTCCTCTGCGGTGATGCTCATTGGACTGTTTCCCTGCCCTTTCAGACCACGGAGCTGCTCATTGGGGGACTTTTTTGGCTCCGCCCACGTGACCCAGCCAATCGGCCTCAAGAGCAGGATTGTGGGAGGTGGGGAGAAGCTTGTGGGGGGAGAGACAGGCTTGTGGAAAGCCGGTGGTGGCAGTTGAGGTTCTGAGGATTTTTCCTGAGAGGCTGTTTTGTTTGGCGTGTTTGGTTCTAAAAATAAAGTTAGTTTCTTTTGACAAGTGGCTTCTGATTGTGCCCAGCCAGACTGCGGCATCCATGGTTTACTATGGTATGTGTATTCCCTTATAGCACTCTATCATTCTCCCCTCCAAAAGTCATTCTTCTTTGGAGAATCTCTGATTATTTGACTCCTTTTTTAGATTAACAAAGGGAATCAAAACATGAGAAATGAATAAAATTCTCTCAAAAATAACTAGTAGAGTTAAAAAAGAACAAAATAAAACTTTTAATTTTAAACAATATTTAAGTTTATTAAGCAATTTTCTTTTTTGGGGCTAAGGATTGAACCCATGATCTTACAAATATCAGACAAGCACTCTACTACTGAGCTATACCCCCAGGCCCTGTTAAACATATTTTTTAAAGTATTATAAAATGTTTAACTTTCATTACATTCAAGGTTTATACTGCTCCCAAAATTTGCATATAACTAAACTTTCAAATCTGCTAACACCCAATGAAGTGATTTCAGTCTGGATTTTAAGGCATCAATTTCTTCTTGCAAATTTTTCCTGACATGTCCTAAGACAGAATAGAATTTTTGGAAATGAGAAAATATAGAAACTGATCCTAAAGAGAAGATTAGATATTAATCTACTGAAGAGAGAATTAGGAAACTAGAAAATAAATCTGAAGGGATTACCAAGAAAGAATCACAGAGAGACAAAAGAATAGATAACAAGAAAAAGACATGTGGCTGGCTGCAATGAAACATGTCTGAGATAAAACAAAAAGGGCTGGGGATATAGCTCAGTGGGAGAGTGCTTGCCTAACATGTGAGGCCCTGGGTTCAATTCCCAGTATCACAAAAAAAAAAAAAAAGAGAGAGAGAAAGAGATATGAAGGATAAAGTAAGAAGACAAGTGTACCTAATCAGAATTCCAGGAGATAACTAAGATAAAAATGGACACTAACACTCAAAAGAATTATTGCTGAGATCTTTTCTGTGATAGGAAAGACATGAATCCACAGCTTCATGAAGCATGACAAATTGCAAGGAGGACACTTTAAAAACCTGCACGGGTGCCAGGTGCAGTGGTGCATGCCTGTAATCCCAGCAGCTTGGGAGTCTGAAACAGAAAGATCATGAGTTCAAAGCCAGCCTCTGCAACGGCAAGGGCAAGGTGCTAAGCAACTCAGTGAGACCCTGTCTCTAAATAAAATACAAAATAGGGCTGGGGATGTGGCTTAGTTGTCAAGTGCCTCTGAGTTCAATCCCCAGTACCCCTCAACAAAACAAAACCTGCACAATACCTTCATCAGAGGGAAACTACCTCATGCCAAAGATCTAAATGCTGCCAGGAAGAAAAGAGAAATTGCTCACAAAGGAACAGCAGGTAGACTAAAAGCTGGCTTCTAAAGAGCACCTGTGGAAGCTGAAAAAAGGGAAATACCACCTTCAAAATGATGAGAAAAAAAATAACAGTCTCAAAATCTATGCCTAGTAACACAGTCTTTCAATGAGGATGAGTTCTATCTCCAATAATAGCAGACTACATTATATAGACAAATCCTCCTATAAAAAAGGTGCTTGATAAAAATAACCCTAACATCATCTTTAAAATGTGAAAGCTGACAAGTTGGTAGACAACTGACAGGGTTAATTCTGGGAGAATCCTGTTCCCAGAGAAGTAATGATAGGATCAGAGCACTAAGGTTGTTTTTTGTCCTAAGGATATTTGTCCATACTAGAAAACCTCAACAACAGCTTCACTGGGTAAGGGGAAAAAACAATCAAAGCCTGCACTTGGCCCAAGAAGAAGAATCATAGAGAAGACCTCCAACCAATCCAAACACATATACATTAAGCTGACACTCCAAAGACTCTACCCTCCAGGCAAGAGAGAAATCAAACAATCTACCCCAACAGTCAACTCTACAATAATATAGAGAAGCATTTTATAAATGGACAAAGAAGAAAGGGGAAAGAAAAGCAATAAATAAATAAACCTCCCCTGAGAAGTTGTGACCCAGTCTGGTGGGCCAGAGAACCTAAAGCTAAGGTGGTCCCTGGATGATATTGTCCCCACAGGCTCTGATAGAAGCAAATTCAAAATCTCTCTTTGGAATACACATTCTTCTTAGGCCAGTGGGAAATTTCCACAAATAATTTTCCAATAGCAATAACTAGCACACAGTCAAAGGCATTCAAGAAAATAAGAAATTGTAAAAGTGGGGTAGAGGTTGTGGCTCAGTGATAGAGCGTTTATCTAGCACATGAGAGGCCCTGGGTTCGATCCTCAGCACCACATAAAAGTAAATAAATAAAATAAAGGTATTGTGTCCAACTACAACTAAAAATAAATATTAAAAAAAAATTGTAGGGCTGAGGCTGTAGCTCAGTGGCAGAGCACTTACCTAGCATGTGTGAGGCACTGGGTTCAAACCTTAGCACCACATACAAAAATAAATAAAGGCATGCTGCTCATCTATAACTATAAAAAAAAAAATGTAGGGGCTGGTATTATGGCTCAGTGGCAGAGCGTTCACCTAGTGCGTGCGAGGCCCTGGGTTCGATCCTCAGCACCACATAAAAATAAATAAAATAAAGGTATTATGTCCAACTACAACTAAAAAATAAATATTAAAAAAACTGTAAAAGTGAATAAGTGGAAAATCCTACAGACTTCAGTCACTGAAAATATCAAAATTTAAATAATTATATTTACCATGTTTAAATAAATAAACAAAAAAAGAAATAACCAGTTTATGTGAGAAAATTATAAGACATAGCACTTTTGAACTAAATAAAACTCCTAGAAACAAACCCTACCCATAATATCCAAAATTAAAAACTTAGTGGATATGATTGATTAGACAAGAAGAAGACAGAATTAGTTAACTAAAAGCAAGATCACAAAGTTATCAAAAATGTATCATAGCCAGACATGGTGGTATATGACTATAATCCCAGTGACTCAGGAGGTTAGCACAAGGAGATCGATCACAAGTTCCAGGCCAGCCTCTGAAACTTAGTGAGACCTTGTCTCAAAATAAAAAGGATTGGGGATGTAGCTCAGTGGTACAGTACCTCTGGGTTCAATCCTTAGTATTGTGTGTGGTGGGGGGTCAGACAAAATGATAGAAAAAATGGAGTGAGAGCCGTAGAGGATTGGTGTGAGGTCTTATGTTAGAATTAAGAAGAATATGAATAAGAGAATGAAAAAAAAATTTATTGAACAGAGAAAGGCTGAAAAATTTTCCCCAAATAATAAAAATTAACAATACACAGGTTCAGGAGAACCAATAAATTCCTAATATGACAAAAAAAAAAGTTTTTACAAATCACATCATTTATAGTGAGACTGCAGGAAAAAAAAAAAAAAGCTAAAATAAACTTTTTAAAGCAACCACACACAAAAATTACTTTTTTTGTGTTGCTCACAAGAATGTATCTAACAAACTGGGCATGGTGGTGCATACCAGAAATGCTAGCAGCTTGGGAGACTGAGGCAGGAGGATCACAAGAAATCCTGGCTTAAAATAAAAAATAAAAAGGGCTGAGGATAGAGCTCAGTGGTAAAGTGCCCTGGAGATTCAATCTCCACCTGGAGATTTAAAAAAGCATCTCACAGCTCTTCTTCCATAAGGAGCATAACTTACTGAGCCCCTCAGCTGCTAGGCTCTGAAATCTACCACCATGTTTTCATGGAAGCCATGTGTTATTGCCAATCAACTGTGCCTCTGTATACAGCCCCATCTCCTTGATCTTGTAGCTTGCTTCTAAACCACAGACTATGATAAAGGTGAAGAGATTTGCTGACTTAAAATAAATCAAAAGGAGATTATCCTGGGAAGACCTGACCTAATCAGGAGAGCCTTGAAAAACTTTCTGCAATTGACCTTGAGGAAAGAAGTCGCTATATCTTGAGGGTTCTAGGAAGACCCCAATGAAAAAGCCACATGACAATCAACTGTGAGCAGACTCTTGGAGCTGTGGACAGCCACCAGCTTACAACAATGGGATCTCAGTTCTAGAACTTCATGGAAATGAATTCTGCCCACAGCCATATAAGCTCAGAAGAGGACCCTAAAAAAAAAAAAAGCCCAGTCAATAACACCTTGATGAGACCCTGCAAAGGACCTACCCTTGCTAAACCTAGGCACCTGATCCACAGAAACTGTGAGATGATAAATGTGGTTTTTTGTTTGTTTGTTTTGGTACTGGGCATTGAACTCAGAGCCACTCAACAACTGAGCCACATCCCCAGCCCTGTTTGGGATTTTATTTAGAGACAGGGTCTCACTGAGTTGCTTAGTACCTCTCTTTTGCTGAGGGTGGCTTTGAACTTGTGATTCTCCTGCCTCAGTCTCCCAAGCCGCTGGGATTACAGGCATGCACCACCACACCCGGCTATGTATGTTATTTTAAGCTATTAATTTTGTGGTCATTTGTTATGCAGCACTAGGAAATCAAAACACTATGCTCTTATGGACTGCTTCCAAGAAAGGACTGAGTGTAACATGAATATTAATACATATCCATTCTTTTGGGGCCAATTTTGGTTCAAGGCCCCCAATAGCCTCGCTGAACATTCCTTATACACATGGCAGTTCTTGCCTTTTGCATGAGAAGAGCTGGAAGATAGTCTGCAGGATCCCTCCAGCCTTACCCTTCCTATTCCTTGACTCAGGGATTTCCCTAATAACATTTTTTGCATATTTAATCCCATCTTGGCATCTGCTTCTTAGAGGATCCAGGCTAACATACTTTCAAGAATGGTAAGTAACCAGGCAGCACAGGCCTGTAATCCCAGTGACTCCAAAGGCTGAGTCACGAGGATCCCAAGTTCAAGGCCAGCCTCAGCAACTTAGTGAGGTCCTAAGCAACTAAGAGAAACCCTGTCTCAAAATTAAAAATAAAAAGGCTGGAGATGTAGCTCTGTGGCAAAGCATCCCTGGGTTCAATCCCCAATTAAAAAAAAAAAAAAAAAAAAAAAAGACCAGGCTAATGATTATCTTATTAGTCAAAATGGTGGCTACTTCTAAGGGGTATGAATATGAATTCTTATTCATGTTTAAAAACTTTCCAAAAGTTTTGACCTTTTTAACTTTTATTATAGTCACTGGAAACTTACAGCAAACATCATTCTTCAAAACGAAATGTCAGGAACAACAAGAATGCCCCATTGCTGCCACCAGGGAGGCTTTTTCTTCTTGGTAGACTCAAGGGATTCAGGCATAAATCACCCAGAGGACACTTATGTGACTTTGACTTTTTTTTTTCAAAGCAGTTTTACGGATTATAATAACATACATATATATATATTTATTTATTTATAGTTGTTGATGGACCTTTATTTTACTTATTTATGTGTGGCACTGAGAAAAGAACTCAGTGCCTCACACATGCTAGGCAAGCACTCAACCACTGAGCTACAGCCCCAGCCCTGATTATAATTTAAAAACCACAAAATCTACTATTTTAACTAAACAATTTGGTGATTTTTCTTAAGTTTACAGAATTGTGCCACCATCATCACCATCCTATTTTAGAAATGCTGCATCACCAACCCCCCAGCTCCCTGGGGCCTATTTGCAATTACTTCCCACTCTCTCCTCAAAGCAACCGCTGTTCTGCTTTCTGTCTTTATAGATGTGACTATTCTGGACATTTCATGTGAATGAAATCATTTAATAATGTGGTCTTTGTGACTGACTTCTTTCACTCAGCATGTTTGAGGCTTATTCATGTTGTAGTACATATCAGCACTCCGTTTCTTTTTATTTCTAGGTAATTTTCCATTGTATGGATGATGTACCACATTTTATTTATCCATTCACCAGTTGACAGTGTTTTCGTTATTTCCAGCTTTTGGCTATTATGAATAATGCTGCTAGGAACATATGCATATAACTCTTTGGATGTACATATGCTTTCATTTCTTGTGGGTAGATACCTAGGAACAGAATTGCTAAGTCCTGTAATAAAATTCATGTTTAGGATTGGAGATGGGAGCTCAGTGGTAGAGCTCTTGCCTAGCATGTGTGAGCCTTGTGTTCAATTCACCTGTACCACAAACAAAAAAACAAACACCCTGATATTTAACTTTTTTGTGGTTTTTGTTTTTTGTTTCATTTAAAATTTTATTTTATTTTTTATATGTTTCAACTTTTTTTAGGAAACTGTCAAACTGGCTGTATCATTTCACATTTTCACCAGTAATGTATGAGTTCAAGCCTATATGACTTTTAAAAGAATAACATACACTTTGTTGATTACTGGGGATTAAACCTGGGGAATCCCAGCTTTTTTTCGTGTTTTATTTTGAGACAGAACTTCACTAGGGTGCTAAGGCTGGCCTCAAATTTGTGATTCTGGGCCCAGAATGGTGGAGCTTGTCTGTAGTCCTACTGGCTCAGGAGCCTGAGGCAGTAGGATCGTGAATTCAAAGCCAGCCTCAGCAACTTAGAGAAGTGCTAAGCAATTCAGTGATACCCGGTCTCTAAATAAAATACAAAATAGGCCTGGGGCACTGGGGTTGTAGCTTACTTGTAGAGTACTCGTCTCACATGTGGAAGGCACTGGGTTTGATCCTTAGCACCACATAAAAATAAAATAGAAGTATAATGTCCATCTACAACTAAAAAGAAAATTTTAAAAAACAATAACAAATAAGGGCTAGGGGGCTGGGACTGTAGCTCAGTGATAGAGTGCCCACCTCGCACGTGTGAAGCACTGGGTTTGATCCTCAGCACCACATAAAAATAAATAAAGATAGTGTCCAACTATAACTAAAAAAAATTAAAAAAAAAAAAAAAGGGCTAGGAATGTGGCTCAGTGGTTAAGTGCCACTGAGTTCAATCCCGGGTACCAAAAAAAAAAAAAAAAAAAATTGTGATCCTTGGGGCTGGGGGTGTGGCATGTGTGAGGCCCTGGGTTCAATCCTCAGCACCACATAAAATAAAATACATAAATTAAATAAAGGTGTTGTGTCCATCTTCAACTTAAAAGAAAATTGTGATCGTCCTTTCAGGTGAGCACCACCCTGTCTGGCTGTAAGAGCATTTTTATAGTAAGAATTCCATTTGTTTTCTAGTCCTGAGAACTGAACATGCTAGGCAAGCATTCTACCACTGACCTACATTCCTAGCCCTTATTTTGAGTCTGGGTCTATGTTGTCCAGGCTGGTATAGAACTTGCAATCCTCCTGCCTCAGGCTCCCAAAGTCACTGGAATTACAGGTGTGGGCCACTGCACCTGGCTTTATTTGTATTTTTATTTTAAGACATAGTCTAAGTTGCCCAGGATGGCCCTGAACTTATGATCCTTGTACCTCAACCTCCCAAGTATCTGGGATTACAGGTATGCACCACCATGCCTAGCTAAAGATGTTTATCCTTATTTTTTCTATGTTATAAGGGCTCACAATTTAATATTAACTAAAGAGAAAGACAGGGTGAGAGAGAAAACACAAATAATTTCAACTCTGTAAAGAAAAAAAACTGCCCCAGGAAAAAAGGCTGGAAGGAAATAAACTAAAATATACATTATTGTTGCCTTAAGGGAATAAGTTTATAAGTTAACTTTTTTATTCATATTATTTAGTTCTGACTGAATTTGCATATATTAATATATTTATTTTCAAAATAAGTAGAAAACTAAAGATGGAGGAGGGAGAGAGTGGGAGGGAAAGGTTGGCCAGGAAAGGAAAGGAGCCCTTTGACTTGATCATCTCACCTCAAAAAGGAGACTGAATGCATCCTCCTCCTGACTTGTGAGGTGGACTGACAAGCCCTTAATGAAGACCCCCTGAGGATTTTCCACAATGGTCATTGGTGTGACTGAAGGTCCAACATAGGGCAGAGTAGACAGGAGATCAAACAGGCTCTCATTATAGATTTCCAAGTAGGAAACACGCACAGTGATGGCATGTGTGGGGCGCTCTTCGATCATCCTAAAAACCTAGATGGGAGATTGGACAGCAGTCACCAAGGGCAGAACTCCAAGAACCAGGGTCGCTCTTACCTCAGGAGAGAAGATCAAAAAGTATAAGACAATTCTTGTCCTCAAGGAATTCATCATAATCTAACTGGCATGATGTTCATCATCAATAATTATTATGATTAGTCCAATGGGTGATATTAATTATCATCTTATAGTTGTTTGAAGCATGACTTCCTGATTGGCTAACCCTCATCTAGTCCCAAGAAGTAGAGGCATGATGAGTGAAAAAGATTCTGAAGTGAAGATCTCTTACATATGGTATTCTCTATATCTACACACCTCTTTTCTATCTATTATTTAATTTCATCCTCACAAATCCCCTATGGGAGGCAGGCAAGAGCAATTCCCATTTATGGAAAGTTCCATGCATTAAAATTTTCCATAGTCACTCTGATAATAAGGATAGAGGCAAAGCCAGAATTCAGCTTCCTTAATTCCTAATATCCTCCCCAGCATGACTTTGGACTAGTCTTTTCCCCCTCTTAAGTTTCTTTTCTTTCTTTCTTTTTTTTGGTTGGGGATTAAACCCAGGGCCTTGTACATGCTAGGCAAGCACTCCATTACTGAGCTACACCCTCAGTCACAGTACCTTAATTTTTTTCCTTATTAAATAGAGAATTGGGCTGATAATCCTCAAGTCTCACTTTTTCTAAGAGGTTAGACTTGAGATGTTCAAAATGATAGATAGTAACCACAGATGGCTGTTGTACACTTGAAATGTTGCTAATGCAAATGAATTTAATTTAAAATTTTATGTAAATTAAATTTTAAAACTTATTTCATTTATCAGTAAACTTTTAAGTATGTTTGTAACAAGTTTAGTATGTAAATCTACTTCTTCTCTTTTTTCTTCTTCTTTTTTTTTTTTTTTTTTGGATTAAACCCAGGGGTGTTTAACCACTGAGCCCTTTTTATTTCTTTTTATTTTTTATTTTGAGACAAGATCTCTAAGATAAAAAAAAACTCACTAAATTGCTGGGGCTGGCCTTTTACTTGCTTCCTGCCCCACTGAGATTATAGACAATGCCACCACACCCAGCTAAATCTACTTTTTCAACTCGAAATTTTACAAAATGTGAATACAGGTATTTCTGACTAATACTTAGTGCCTAAATTGAAAGGTACTCCCCAAGTATAAAATATACATCAACTTTCAAAGACTTATTAATAGAAAAATAATGTGAACTATTTCAATAACTTTTATACTAATTACATTTGGAAATTATATTTTGAATATACCAAGTTAAGTTATATTGCTAAAATTAAGCCAAGAATGGTGACACTTGCATGTAATCCCAAGCGATTTGGGAGGCTGAGATAAGATTGCAGGTTTAAGGCCAGCCTTTGGAATTTAACAAGATCTTGTCTCAAAATAAAAAACAAAAAGGGGTGGGGATGTAGCTCAGTAGTAAAGACCCCCTGGGTTCCATCCCCAGTACAATATAAAAAATTATATTGTTAAAATTATTTTCACACAAGGCGTAGTTGGCACACATATTGGTACTCCCAGCTACTCAGGAGGCTGATGCAGGAGGATCACAAAGTCAAGGCCAACCTGGGCAACTTAGGGAGACCCCTCTCTGAAAATAAAATTAAAAAGGGCTGGGTGTCACATTCCATGACTAAAACTTAAGGTCCCTCCAGGTGAACCTGGCTGGCACGAAATAATCACACAGAGACAGAGAAATACTTTTCCTTTGGGTGTTACGACGGCTCCTCTGACCTTAGGGGTCCGTGGAAAGACAGAGAGGAGCATGTGCTGAACCCTTTTATTGGGGAGAAGCCATTCAATTGAGGCAAGGGGTCAGGTTTCAGGGGGTTGAGTCTAGTTTCGTGATGTCAGCTGTCAGCAGACTGACATCTAGGAAGGCCATGACCATCTCATGAGCTGTGTGGGGATCATAAGCAGAGCGAGGCCCGCCTAAACAGAGGGGCAACGTCGGTTCAGTCCACTTTGTGCACTCAGTGCTCATAGTTCACACACACACAGCCCATGGCTGGCTTGCCACATCTCCATGTTCTCATGGCTCAAGGCTAAGGGGTGCTTGATTCCTATGTGGCAACTCCCAACTGCTGGGGATATAGTTCAGCAGTACAGTGCTTTCCTACATGTGTGAGGCCCTGGGTTCAAACACCAATATCCCCCAAATAAGTAAAATTTCACCTATTTATTTTTTAAATGTAGCTACTAGAAAACTCAAAATTGCATATGTGACTTACATGATATTCCTATTAGGTGGCACTGGACTATACAACTGAAGACTGAGATGCTGAGATACCGAAGCTTTAGATGGTTTATATACTAGGATATCTATACTTCTCATAGGACAAGGCTGTCAAACCACAAGATGCTTTAGTGGGAAGGTTTTTTGCTTCCTCCTCCAAACATAGTCTTCACAGAACCCAGGCTAGCAGGCCCCAAAGGAAGGCCTTTATGCCCTGTCTTCAGTCATACTTCACTAAGCCATAGTTGACACAGTTTTGAAAGCTCAGGTCATGGCTCGCTTCTTGTCTTTGCTTTTTAAAGGCAATGTTGGGTAAAGAAGCCAAAGCCGGCCAGTAAAGTAGCTCTGAAAGAGCCCACATTATACTAGTTAAAACAAGGAAGGACTTTCAAATCCTTAATTACAGAATCACAAACTATTGGAACATGCCTGCTCCCTCTTTTACAAATAAGGAAACAGTGTGGGTGTTTGAACCTCTAATCTCCTGAGGCCTCTACCCCCTCCCCCCGCCATGTGAATTTATTCTGTCTATAGTACTGGTACCAGTACTGGCTGCAACTCCTCTGAGGGCCAGATCCCATTATTTCTATTAGCTGATCTGAAATTGTCAGCATCTATGGCAGAGAGGGGACCTATGTGACATCCCACCCATGGGCCCACTCTCTACCTGCTGCAGAGCACGAGGGAGGATCCCCCGGTGCTTGTAATTCTCAGTGGCCCCCGTCATGGTGTATGTCTTGCCAGCTCCCGTCTGCCCATAACACATAATGGTACCTGCAAACATTTCAGAACACATCTCAGTGACATCCAGGAAAATAATTCTAAGGACAGTTCTCCCATTCCCCAGCATATCTAGTGCCAAGCAGAACCCTTGTATGAAGGTAGCCAGTGGGAACTGGCCAAAGACATTAGGAATTCCACCATGGAGGAGGATGGGCAAGCAAAGGAGTAGTAAAACTGATGACACTGAAAAACTGCCTGAATTTGTAGTCCACCCAGTGCTCTAATGTTGTCTGCACCAAGAGATGTTCTGGGCCTAGAGAGGGAGAGAGGGAGCTTCTAGTCCTAGAGCTTCTGAGAACAGGGAGTTTCAGGGAAGTGAAGAGTGGGAACTTTTACTTAAAAGATGAGGAAGGGAACAGGAGCATTAGACTCTCATCCTTCTCTTGCAAGGTCATGAACTGCTTGGGTCTGGGTCTGGCAAGAGTCATCAACTTATCCATAAAAACAAAAAAAGGCTTTTAAAATCTCCAGGAAGAGATAGAGTAGAAAGGGCATTTCCTGTCAACATTTGCAGATTCGCACAGGACAAAGAGAGCTCCTAGTTAGTCCAAGGTCACTTCCAAAAATGGACCATCATTACTGGTCCCTGATCTGGTTCCACTGAATACCCTGAAAGACTTTTCATTTGTACTTTTCACATCCTTTAGGTCTAGCATCACCACCAGGCTCTGAGACATGAACTACGTAGTCACCCTGGGCTCCCATCTGCTCTTGCTTTTGGCTTGATCCCATCCCAAAGACTGCTTCTGGGTGTTTACACAGCAGACCTGACAGAGCAAGCACTCTACACCACTGATCCCATGTTTTAAGATTAATAAACTTAGACTGAATAAGTTTTTAAAACATTCTTAATAAAACTGTTTTTACTTTGTTGAGAAAAATCAATCACTGATGAAGCTTTTAGGGATAATATGAATAATTCTATACTGGAATATGAACAGTACAGGGATTACAATAAGTTAGAATAAATGGAAATAGTTTCCAGCAGGTAGCTAAGAGAAAAATGTATAGACTTCATCAAATTGATCATAAAGACATATTGTCAAACTAACATTTTAACAGGATAATAGTTGAACCTCTACAACCTATAAAAAGCCAGGGTCTTCTAATCATCCTATCAAGGTAGGATCCTAGGGCAGTGGGTCAGGCATGCCCACAATGTCATCAAGCAAATAGGAAGTTTTCCACTATTAAGAACATGAAGACAGGGGCTGAGGATGTGGCTCAAGCGGTAGCGTGCTTGCCTGGCATGTGTGCGGCCTGGGTTCGATCCTCAGCACCACATACAAACAAAGATGTTGTGTCCGCCGAAAACTAAAAAATAAATATTAAAAAATTCTCTCTCTCTCTCTCTCTCTCAAAAAAAAAAGAACATGGAGACAGGAAAATGAGCCTACAAATGTTAGTGAGTTTATGTTTTATTTTATTCACCATAAAATACTTGTATGTCTTCCTTCAGAAAGTGATCCTCAGGTTCTTAGATAAAACAACAATTAATTAATTTAATTACCATTATAGCCATCAAGGGCTTGGGAAACCACATCCTTTGCGACTGTCTCATACACCAAGTCCTGAGAGGCATCATGGAGAACCCCATCCAGCTTGAATGACCAGTCTGTTTGCTGGTTATTGACAACTCCTTTCCGGATATCTTTTTTTAAGTGAATATCAATGCTCTAGGAAAACAGAGAGAAAGGAAGGGGGCGAGGGGGAGATGGAGAGGGGGGAATGAGAGAGAAAGAAGGAAGGAAATTATATGTCAGGTACAAAAAAGCCACTGATACCAAAGGCCTGACCTGGAGAAAAACGAGGAAGCAATCTCATTTTGAGGTTGCTAATGAACTTTAGGATGAGCAGGGACTCCCATATAGATGACATTTTGGATGAACAATTTGGTATAGAAGAAGGAAGCTCCTGCAGGGAGGCCATATCACCCTGTGGAGGAAGATCAGAAGACAAGCACTTCCTAGTTTCAGTGTCTCTCATCCTAGTTTACAGGGTGTGGCTGTTTGGCTCCCCCATCTATGAAATGGAGTCAAACCAATTTATCATGTTCTTTGTAAACAAGACTTAGACATATCCTACAAGTATAGGAGGCCTTGAATTAGGTCAGAGGGAATAGTAAGCTTGGTGACAGAAGCCTGGGCTTGAGCCCTGTCACTGGTTAAAAGTGGTAAGGTCTCCCTCAGCTCTGCATTGTGGTAAGCACCTATTTCTACATATATACCATAGCCCAACGTGAGTAATGATGAGGTAGCCACAGAAAAGGCTCTGGGCCGCCCAGACACCGTCAGTCACTCACTGGTATTAGAGGAAACTGAAGGTGCCCAGCCTACTTGTAATCAAGATTTTTAGAAGTATGTATCTTCATTGCAGCCAAAGTGGCAGCAGCTGGCTTAGGAACATACTGGGTAAGGTCAATGCCTCTTAAGATTCCAAGCTTCTTGATGGGAATTCTGATGTAAAAATTATCTTGCTGAAATTATATACTGGCTGCTCTAATCCAAAAGCTAAGACCTGGCCACGCAGAGAAAAACCAAGACCAAGAAGACAGGTTTGGTTCATGCATATATAAAATGCTCTGTGCTTCTATGTTCATTGAAAACACATACTGTAGGGCACATTAAAAAAATATTTATTTTTTTAGTTATAATTGGACACAATATCTTTATTTCATTTATTTATTTTTATGTGGTGCTAAGGATCGAACCCAGGGTCTCACACAGGCGAGGCAAGTGCTCTACCACTGAGCCACAACCTCAGCCCCTATAGGGCACGTTTTATAATGCCACATTTGAGCTCTTTTTTGAATGCTAGAACCTTAAAGTCTTGAGCAGAATGCCCTTGAATTCTTCTTTTAAAAAATGTCTCAATGCTGGCCAGATGGACCTGTACACGTTTTCACATCTAACACTCTCATGCTGTTCTAGGCCTGTCAAAGGCTTCAGAAAGATTCTTAGGACAGTGGTGAAGGTACAGGGTGAATAAATCTTCAGTACTCATGATAAGAGTCTCCCCTACTGCTTGGATAAATTTAACAATAATCAACTCAAATCAACACTCTTTTTTTTTTTTAGTACCAGCGATTGAACCCAGGGGTGCTTAACCACTGAGCCAAATTCTCCAGCCCTTAGTTGTTGTTGTTTTTTTTTTTTTTTTTTTTTAATTTTTATTTTGAGACAGGGTCTTGCTAAGTTGCTAAGGCTAGCCTCAAACTTGTGACCTTCCTGCCTCAGCCTGCCTAGTCGCTGCAATTACAGATATGTACCCCCATGCCTGCTTCAACTCAATGCATTCTTACTATACCCCTGAGAAATTATATAATGGAAGATACGATCACCAGAAAATTTTATGGGTGTGGAAAAATGCAGGGTAAACTTCTTAACAGTAAAATTGTTAATAAAGGACAATTAAAGATGGGAACCTCATGAACTTTCTCATTTAATTTCGATGTTGAGGGCGTGGTTTGGATTTGATGGATCAATTCTGTCCTGGTCCCTAAATAGTTGTTTGGAAATAGGATCCCACTGTAGTGAGGTAGAACAGAGATAGAAGGACCCAGGAAGGCAAAGGCAAACACATTCTACTTACTTTATTGTCATCTCCATATCTGATCATTTCATGAGCAAAGTCATCAGTGGGTTTGACACGGACAAATGCATGAACCTTTTTTCTGGTACCCATCCTAGCTAAAGAGAAGAGGACAATGAAATTTTCAGTAGTCATCATCAAATAACAACTAGCGGAGTCATTCATTTAAGAAGATCCAAAGAGAGTGACCTGCAGCCCATTTTTCCCTATCCCCCTGAGAGCCAATCTTCCTTTTCACCTCTGCCTTTCAATGCCCTCTGGATAGTGCACCGCTCAACAGGTATGTGTACTTCCTGCTTTGAAGGCTGCTTCATCATTTTCTACCACTGACCCAAAAGAGACTGAAATACAAAGAAGAAAGAATATTCCCTTTAGTTGGCCTATTCTAAGCTGTTGTTTCTAGAAATATTCTGCGTAAGATGAGTCTCCTTATGCTTTGCCTCATCTATTATATGCTTGTTATGAAATTCACTAAAAGTAGTTTTTCTTTTTGTAGTACTGGGAACTGAACCAGCAGTACTGGTTCAGTAATATGCCAATTGTTTCTATTTTTTATTTTGAGAAGAACTTATTAAGTTGCCCGGGCTGGCATTGAACTTGCCATCCCAGGCTGGCACTGAACTTGCCATCCACCAGCCTCAGCCTCCAGAGTCACTGGAATTACAGATATGCACGACCACACCCTAGTTTTGTTTTTTTCATTAACATACCTTTCGGGCTGGGGATGTGGCTCAGTGGTAGAGTGCTTGCCTAGCATATGTGAGGCACTGGGTTTGATCCCCAGTATCATATAAAAATAAATAAATAAAGGTATTATGTCCATCTACAACTAAATATTTTTTTAAAAAATATACCTTGGGCTGGGGTTGTGGCCTAGTGGTAAAGCACCACATATGAATAAATGAATAAAATAAAGGTCTATCAACAATTAAAAAAACATTTAAAAAATATACCTTGCTTAGGATGCAGCATCCCCTCTACATCTATCAGACTAGCTGGATCAGATTAAGCATACTTCTATGACTAAATGCCCTAGAAGTATACTTAAGCTATTCCATAATCAAACAGTCCATTGAGAGAAAAACCATAGTCCCCTACCTCCTTTTCCTCTCCTAAAACCTAACTACATTCTCATCAATTTCCTTCAGGTAGCCACACATATCTATCTTCCTTCATTTATATTATGACAATTATTATACGTAGAATACAATATTAAACATTTGATGTGGCTGTATGGAATAAGATGGAAGCTTACAGATGAAAGTGATAGTCATTTAGGTAAATGTTCCATAATAGAAAAGACTTTCTTAAAGAGGTAAGGGCCACAAATACCATAAATAGTTAAGCAAACTCAAGGTGCCCAATTAAAATATATTCTTGTAAAACCTTTTAAATAACGAATTGCAAAATCCTTTAAATGATAACTAAGAAATCTCATATCTTTTTGGAGACTAGTATTATGAGTCAAATCACACTTGGCCCTCTCCTGGGAGTGCCTGCAAAAAAATATTTAATACTAATTAGACAGTAAGTTTAGGTTCTAACACTGACACTCAGTGGAGAAACAGAAGGTGATTAAATAGAGGTGATAATTATGCTGTTTTTCCTTTTTGTGTACTATAATTGAACCTAGGGCCTCATATATGCTAGGCAAGTGCTATATCACTAAGCTACATTCCCTGTATTTTATTTCCCTTTATCTTATTTTACTTTATTTAGACAGAGTCTTCCTAGGTTGCCCAGGCTGGCCTTGAACCTCAGTCTCCTGAGTAGCTGGAGTTACAAGCATGCATGATCAGACCCAACCAATTGCACTGATTTTTATTGCTTTAAGGATTTTAAAAATCTGACCAGCTTTTCAGGTGTCTCATTATATATAATGATGATAATATCTTTGTTTGTTTGTTTTGTTTTTGGTACCAGGGATTGAACCCAGAAACACTTAATTAACTACTGAGCCACATCCCCAGTCTTATATTTTGTGAGACAGGGTCTTGTTAAGTTTCTTAGGATCTTGTTAAATTGCTGAGGCAGTCTTGAACTTGCAATCCTCCTGTCTCAGCCTCCCCATCACAGGGATTACAGGCGTTCACCACCATGCCTGGTGATAAAGTCTTACACACTGAGAGAAAATGCCAAGAGCTCTAAGAAACTAAGTAAAATTCTATCTGTGAGAATCATCAGTTTTGTTAAATCTAGGTAATATCAAAAATAAGATAAAAATCTATGAGCTGGGTGTGGTGGCGCATCCAGGTAATCCCATCAGGATGCAGGAGCATCACACGTTTGAGACTGGTCTCAGCAATTTAGCAAGACCCTCATCACCTTGTAAAACTGTAGTGGCATCCCCTTCTTCATAGAAAATCTTAAATTAAGCCTCTCCAGAAATCATTACCATAATTGACTTTAGGACTATCAGCAAAAAAATCTACAGAACAGTTCAATGTAGTTAAGCTTCCTATTTCCTGCTGCTCTATCTTACTTGGCCAGAGGCCAGAAAAAGATCAGCAGTCCAAGTGCTGAACACCCCTTTACTAGTTTTTCACAATTAGGGACTATCTAGTATTTTGTAAGATATATAATAGATTGTAAAAGTTTTCAAGGGGGAAGTGTTTGCAAATGCAAAATGTGATAAGAAAGATTCTTTAACAAGGCCTCTGGTCTTGGGCTGCAGCTTCAGAGATGTTTACATTTCAAAGAGAAGAGAAGATGTTACTAATTGGGCTCCATGGTAACAGCTGGCAGGGGGAGGGAAGAAAGGGGAGAAGAAGCTCTACCCTTCTCAGGTGCTGACCTTGAAGGGTTAACTTGCCCAGAACAGAGAAAGAAAAGCTGCTTATGTGTGAACTTCTGCAGATTGTGAACTTCCCAACCCCTCCCCCTACACACTGGGTTTAAAGTTCTGAAACTGCTTGAACTCGGGGTTCAGGGGGATTGATTGGTTACAGTGAAAGCTTTTCCCTCTGAACCTGGCTGCAGCCAAATAAATCTGCTTCCTGCTAATTCTTTGGTGTTTGACCTCGTCTGTTCCTACAAAACCATGTCTGAAAATAAAAAACAAAAAGGACTGGAGGTGTAGCTCAGTGGTATCGCGCTCCTGGGTCCAATCCTAATAATAATAATAATGTCTATGAGAATACACTGAATGAATAACATCATTGTTCAAAACTATTGGGAAAAAATACAAAATACAGTTTTAAATTCTTCTAAAATGGAAGATTTCTAGTTTTTTACATATAAATATATCTTATTTCCTTTTTTTTCCCCCTGGTAATGGGCATTGAGCTACTTCCTCCTCTTTTACTTTTTATTTTGAGATAGAGTCTCACTAAGTTACTCAGGCTAGCCTTGAATTTCCAATCTTCCTGCCTCAACCTCTGGAGTCTCTGGGATTACAGGTGTGCACCATTGTGCCCAGCTACATATAAATTTTCCTAAAATCAATCTAACCTTTTTTTATCTGTCCCCCCACTCGTAACTTGATAATATCACTATGTAGTTTATAGTCATGTAGTCCTAAGATAGGGCTCTCAAATTTCAATACTTTCACTTTTACAGAACCATGAATATAAAGAAAAAATGTTAAAAGTCCATTTGGGGGCTGAGGATGTGGCTCAAGCAGTAACATGCTCACCTAGCATGCGCAGGGCGCTGGGTTCGATCCTCAGCACCACATAAAAATAAAATAAAGATGTTGTGTCCTACGAAAACTGAAAAATAAATATTAAAAAACTCTCTCTCTCTCTCTTAAAAAAAAAAGTCCATTTGGAATTAATATTCTAATTTGAATGGACAAAAGGCCCAAAGGGCAGGATGTTTGTTGCATCACACACTTGTCTTTTGATCTCTCCATCAGGATTGGACCAATTCAATAAGGAATGTGACTTTTGCCCCTAAAATCCTGTACTTTCAAGGGGGAGGATAGAGTTGAAGCTAAAGAAAACTCCTGGAAACACTTTTAAATAGGACAATCATAGGCTGGGGGTATAGCTCAGTAGAACACTTGTCTAGCATGTACAAGACCATGAGTTTGATCCTGAACCCTGCAGCAGGGGAAAAAAAGGAATTTGCTAAATTTATGAGAAGTTAGAGAAACATGAAGCATAGGAACCTGACTCAATTTCAACCTTCAATTTGGAAAATGAAAAAAAAAAAAAAAAAAAAAAAAAAATATATATATATATATGGAGAAATAGCTTGTTTGAACCTGCAAAGTACTTCAACAAAATGATATGATATCCAGTATTTTTAAAAATTTTTCTTTTTGTTTTAAATGGACACAATACCTTTATTTTGTTTATTTTTATGTGGTACTGAGGATTGAACCCAGTGCCTCACATGTGAGAAGCAAGCACTCTACCACTTCGCCACAACCCCAGCCCCTGATACCCTAATATTTAAGGCCTTTCAGTTTTTTTTTTTTAAAAAACTCCCAGGCACAACAGGGATTTGTGTGTGTGTGTTTTTTAATTTCTATTTAGTTTTTTTTTTTTAATATCTTTATTTATTTGTTTTTTATGTGATGCTGAGGATCGAAACCCAGTGCTTCACATGCAAGGCATGCACTCTACCACTGAGCTACAGCCCCAGCCCAGGGATTTCTTTTTTTCAATTACAATTAATTGTTTTTTTAAAAGCACATTAAAAAATAATAATATTTTACATAGGAGTTACCTAACAAAAAATTTTCTTTTAAAATATTAATGTCCTTCCACATTTCTAGACACAACTTATGATGATCAGTTTTCTCTTAAAATTATATGAACTATCATCAAATGGCATTAAGTGTCCCTGCAGAAGCAAGTTAAATAGAGACAGGTGCTCCTCTTTCAGCTCACATTTTTGATGATGGGGGCAAAATAAAACCCTGACCTATTATGAGTCTTTCAGCTGTCAAATCAAGTAAGCAAACATAGTACTTACATATTTGCCTACTATAGAGTATGTATATACTTCCTACATTCCTCAATTCACTATTTTATGATCATCTTTTCCTAGCCACTATGGGGTCATTCAGACTTTTTGATTTTTAGAAAATTAATCTGAAAGATATTGAGGTGAGCAAAGAAAATGGCTTGTCCAAATTGTCATATCTGTCTTTAAAATTTAGCTCTAGAAATAAAAAAGCCACCAATAACTCTAACACAAAGTCCTACCAGAAAACTGAAGAGAGTATCTCATTTTCTATTTCACTTCAATCTATGCTATGGGAAATTAGGAGTAAAGCAAAGTGTATTTTGACTAAAATATTCTATTTCTAAAGCTCTGGGAACAACTCCCCCACACTAGACCCAAGGGCCCATCCTCCTGCCCAGGGAAGTTCAGGTACCATTCAGGATGCTCTTTAAAAGGGACAGAAAAGCAGGGGAGCTCTGGGACCTGCTGCCCAGGCCTCCCTCCCTGAAGCCCCTGCCACCAACAGCAAGGGGTAGCACAAGCCAGCACAAAGTAAACCCAGAACCTGCCTCTTTTCTGCCATGAAATTGCTAACATGCACATGCACATGCAACCAGCCTGTCCATGTTCCCAAGGTCTCCTGATGCTCATGTTATGGCTCCAAGCATGTCATGAGCCATACCCGCCTGCAATAAGCCTTCCCTATGATCTACACCTCTACTGTGTGCTTGCTATTCAGCAGCCCCTCAATACCCAAACATTGGGGGCCCCATGCCATTTGCACTTACTGAAATACTGCTTGTTACTGTTCTTACGCCGCTTCATTTGTGTGGATTTCAGCTCCCAAATTACAAGCTGCTTGAGAGCAAGGAATGTGCCTTTTATCTCTTTTGAATCCCCCTACAATATCCAGAACAGTGCTCAGTGCATAGCAGGTGCTCAAGAAATGGTGGTTGGTGGTGATGGTCGTGGCTGGAAGTCAGAGGATAGGTGAATCTCCATGTGTGGGTCCATCTTCAGTCACTACTAAGAGAGTCTCAAGGCGCAGATGATGTGACTCCCCTTCCAAACCACATCCAGTACCCTGACCCCTCAGTTGTTCTTCAGGATACTTGCTTTCTAGGTTTATTTTAGAGGCCCTCAACATACTCAATTTTAGTAGTGTCCTTTTCCCTCAGAGCTTTGTGAGGAATACCCCTCTCTTTGGAGCACCATCCTTAACACCTGTGAAATAAAGTGAATCTGAGTGGCCAACAGCAGACCTCCAAATTGAGAGATTCACTGTTTCCTCATTTGTTTTAGGGGTGGCAATGAAAGGAATTGCCACCCACAGCTCCCGAAGGCTTGACAGGAGATGAGGGAGCATCTGGTGTGATGGCTGGTACCCAGGCAGTCCCTATTTTCTGGCGCTCTTGCACAAACCAGGGGCAGAGGCTACAACAGCATCTGAACCCCAAACATAGGGTCCAACCTGGCCTTGGGCTGGAGTCAAGACCAGCATGTAGGCAAAAGTAGCCTTTCTCTTTTTTCTCACCTAACTTGCGGGAGCCCCATGAGGAGTGTGGGTGGCAGTGGGCCTTGGGCCCATTCCTCTCTTTCTCTGGAGCGGTTTCCTCATCTGCAAAGCGCAGGACTCAGACTGATGTTCCCCAAGGTCACTCCAGTTTGAAAACTAACAGTGCAGAAGAGTCCAGAAGACCCCTGGCACCCCTGCCTCACGCCCTCTATGTCTGGAGCACGACGTGGGATCCTCACGGAACCAGGGAATATTAGCCCCGAAGGTCCTAAATCGCTGCCAGAATAAAAAGGACCCTCTGAAGCCGCGTGCCTTCCTCTGCCAGAGTTTCACAAACTAGCAAGCCAAGCCGGGAACTCCGGGATAGAGTGGTGCTGGGAATTCAGCCACTGCCAGCGGCCAGGACGCACAACCCCATCGGGCCTCCCTTCTCCCTAATCCCACTGTCGCGCGGCCCCTGCTCACCGCTCCCGAGGCAGCGGCACTCGCCCAGTGCGACCGCTGCCGACTGCAGAGACCCAGGCTCTGCACGCGATCTGGACACGCCAAGAGCTGCTGCCGGGCTGTGTATAAAGTCGCCATAGCAACGGGTCCCGTCGGGGATTCCGGAAGTATCGTGGGGTGGTGGCGGAAATGAAGTGCACAGCACTAGGTCGAGGATACAGGTAAGGTCAGGACAGAATCGGAAAACAGGAGATGTGGCCAGTGATTCTAGGAAGACTGCAACAGCTGCATGCGCAAAGCCGTGTTCGAGGTAGCGGGGAAACGAAGGCTGTGTATGAACCAGGAAGCGGGGCTGCAGGTCTTCCGGCGCAGAAGAATTTGCGATTACGGCGGCCGCGCAGGCCCGTCCTATTCCGGCTCAGCGTTCCTAGCTGCGTTCGGTGCGCGCCTACGCCCCGCCCTGGTTAGTGTGGAGCCGGCCGGCCAGGCCTGCGCAGTTGCGGCGGTGGGGGAAGATGGTGGAGGACGGTGCGGAGGAGCTTGAGGACTTGGTGCACTTCTCCGTGTCGGAGTTGCCTAGTCGCGGCTACGGCGTCATGGAGGAGATCCGGCGACAGGGCAAGCTGTGCGACGTGACGCTCAAGGTGCTGCGGGATGGGCGGCGGCTGGCTGACAGGAAAGGGGTCGAGCGGGAAGTAAAGAGGGGCGGGTGACGGGGAAGGGAGGTCGAGCGGGCAGAGGGGTGGAGAGAAGAGAGTGGAGGGAGACCCTGTCGTAGGGAGACAGGTGCCAAATGGGAGAGGGGTATTAAGGCCAATTTGGGCGGGGAAGAGGGACAGCTTTCAGCTGTTGGAAGAAAAGGTTGAGAGGTGCGCCGCCGAGGCCCTCAGAGTGGGAGACACCAAAGTGCCCGCCTCCTTTTTCTGTCACACAGACCAGAGAAAATGTACTTACAGCTTCTCTTGGGAGGAAGGAGCGGTGTCTGGCTCCACATTTGGGTGGATACCACTGAAGCATCTTCTTGTGCACATAGAGATTTCTTTGTGCCGCTCGAAGTTGACTGTGCTTTCGTATGGAGGTGAAGGCTTCTCCTTAGGTGTCATTGCTTGTCCTTGATTGTTAGAATCTTTGAGGTGGACAGATGCTCTCTCACACTGGAAGACCCCCACCCCCACCACCATCACCAAAAGGTCTATTTTAACCACCCTCCCTACCAGCAGTCACAAAAACCAGCCCCCCGCCCCCCCATTGCATGAGTCTTTTCTTGCGGAGAGACATGCTGTGCTGCTTCTTGGACAAGCTGCTGAGCCATGTGGAACCCTCCAGGTGGGGAGATGGTGCTGTCATTAGTGTTCCCTATTGGACTTTAGCTGGAAGGCTCTCAGCATCTGAGTGACCTTCCTGTTTTAAAAAAACAAAACTATGCAGAGATCTTTTTGCTTTTATTTTCTACATGGTTAAGGAAACCTTGCTTCTTCCTTAACCAGCTACCCTGCTAGAGAGGGTAAAGTAGGATAGTTAAGAGTTTAGACTGGTGACAGGAGGATTTGGATTAAAATCCCAGTTGTAACCTTGGACAAGTTATTTATTCTCTCTAAGCCTCAGTCTTCCAAATGTAAAAATAGGTAAGGTTCCTAAATTCTCCATGTTAGTGGGAGGATTAAATGAGAAATTTTGTGGTATTCTTTGCCTTATTCCTGGCCAAGTTCTCCAGTGGTGCTATCAGGTAGGGCCTGTAGGATAATGGATCTGCCTTTTCACTGTGTGAAAGGGGACTTGGGTCTCTCCTTTTCATCCCTTTAAACCCCTCCTGAAGGAAATGATTTTCCAGGAGAGGAATACAGTGGCCTGAGAAAGGGGCAGGAACTTCTCAGGTGAGAAAGAGGAGCCAAGAGGATTAAGAAAACTGAGCTGGACTAATGGAAGCAGAGGAAGTAAAAATAAATGAGAGATTTTTGTCCACAGAAATAAATGTGAGAGATGTGGAGATTTGTAAACAGAAGAATGATCTAGTTGTGGAAGTAACATTTGGTGTGAATAGAGACTGGTGAAAAGCAGTAATAAGGAGGGATTTTTGGATTTAGATTTAAGGTGTAATGGTGAATTAAGGGACGCTTTTGAAACACAGAGAAGCAAAAAGGGCATGACAGAGTGGAATGGTCACAGGTATTTCTACATAAAATAGTAACTTTCATTTCTACATTTAATAAAAATTTCAAATATAGTAGATTTATAGCAAAAAATGCCTGTATGACTTTTTTTTTTCAATTAAAATGCTTTCTGTTTATTGAAAGGGACAAGTAAATCATTCAGATGTAGTACCATCTGAGTGTCAGTCTGAATTACTGTTTCAAGGGCATAAGGACCAGTGTATAGGCCTAGGCTAGAGCTGGTCAGAACTGTAAAGACCAATCTCTTCTATAAGGCCTGAGAAGTGGTTCAGTGACTGTAGGGCAAGGAAAAGGCCAAGCATACCAGGTTCTGCTGCATTTCACTGCCCTCTACAAAAACTGTGCTGTGAAACTTGTTTGTCACCACCCCCATACATACACACACAGGAAATATAGTCTTTCCTCAAATTTCTGGCAATTCCAGATTGTTTTTCAGATAAACAGGCACTGAAAAGTTTTTTGGTATGTGATGACTTGTTGACTAGTGGGCCTCCCTTAGGGCAATGGATCTCAAACTTTAGCAGGCACCAGAATTCCTTGTTGGCCTTGTAAAAACTCTGGGTTTTGGAGTTCACCCCTGAATTCTGATTCATAGGTCTGGCATGGGCCCAAGAATATACATTTCTGTCATGTTCTCCAGTGGTGCTATCAGGTAGGGCCTGTAGGATAATGGACCTGCCTTTTCACTGGAATGTGTTCAGACTCCTCAGTCTTCTAGGTGTCCTCCTAGATGATATAAATCTGGTTGTTATCATTCCAGGAGTCTTGTGTGAAAGGGGACTTGGGTCTCTCCTTTTTGTATGGCAGACTTTGAGTCAGTCCCCCTAAATGGTGCCATTTCCTTATTTTCAATGGTGCCCCAGTTACACAAGTCTGGAGTCGCTAGTTCATCCTGTTTAGAGAGTAAATCTCCAGTCTTCTGCTGGGGCAGTGACAGAGTGTTGCCTGGTGGAGGGGACCAGTACTGCCTGTTTTGGGCTCCTCCTTATGACACACCTTCAAAAGAAACTGGCAGCTCCAGTGGTTGAATTTGCAGTGGCTTTACATCTGCGTTACTCAGAATTCTCCATCTAAGTCAGTTATTACTCATTTGTCTGCTTTTCATCTTCTAATTTTTTTTCTTTTTTTGGGGGGGTGGGGATGGGGGTTGAACCCAGATGTACTCTACTGCTGAGCTACATTCCCAGCCCTTTTTATTTTTATTTTTAAAATTTTTTTGTAGTTGTAGAAGACAGCATGCCTTTATTTGTTTATTTATTTATTTTTTAATACAGTGCTAAGGATCCAACCCATTGCCTTACACGTGCTAGGCAAGTGCTCTGCCACTGAGCTACAGCCCCAGCCCTTTATTTTAAATTTTGAGACTGAGTCTCATTAAGTTGCCCAGGCTGACTTCAAACTCGCGCTCCTCCTGACTTAGCCACCCAAGTTGCTAGAGTAACAGATGCGTGCCACCACACTTGACCATTTTCTAAAATTTTGTAGATTTTTCTAATCTGTTTCTCTGCTTCTTTTTCCTTGGGAGCTTCACTGTTTGTTTGTTTGTTTATTTGTTTTGGTGGTTTTTTTTTTTTTTTTTTTTTTTTTCCAGGAATTGAAGCCAGGGGCATTTAATCATTGAGCCACATCTGCAGCCCCTTTTATTATAGAGACAGGGTCTTGGTGAGTTGCTTAAGACCTTGCTAAGTTGCTGAGGCTGGCTTTGAACTCATTATCCTGCCTCAGCCTCCCAAGCAGCTGGGATTACAGGCATGCGCCACTGCACCCAGCTTGCTTAACTGTTTCTTGAACATTAGTATGAGAGGCAGGATGATGCAGACTTTGGAGCCAGACTACCTGGTTTTAAATGCTGGCTCTGCTACTTCTTAGCTGTGAAAACCTGAACCCAAGTTCTTTAAATGCTAATGATTCAGTTTCTTCATCCTTAAAATGGGGATCATCACCTACCTGAGT